TGCTAAACTCTGTGACTGCCTGCCTACTGCCTTGAATATCCAAAGTGGGTCCTTTTAAGCAGTCAGGGTGGATATATGACTCAGCATTATGTTATGCATTGTTTTCTTCTCTCTCTCTTGCCTTCAATCTATCCTGTGAGTATCAAATTTTCCAAACCCTCTTTACTATATTGTGGTAGAAACCTCAAATTTAGAATGATACTGAGGCAATAAAAATTGAATTAATAGAAATAGTATAAGAAAGAAAGTTATTTTATATTAACACTTCCATATTTTTATGTTTACATCTTTTCAAGGCTGATATTTAAATAAGGTCTCCTATTTCTTATATAGCACATATTGTTGCAAGAGAACAAGTGAAAACAACAATGTACAGCCAGTGAAGTAGAAAAAAAAGAGACAAGATATATTAAAATAAAATTATCCGTATTGCCAGTATAAAGGATCAGAGCAGAATATCTCGTTTGTGGGCAAGGGATATGACCTGGAAGAAGATGGGAGAGTTGGTTGGAACTTGTGTTAGATCAGTTCAGCCACTGATGAATTCTGTGAACCATCTGCATACTGCATGTTGCTGATTGGATCCTTTTAAGCAGTCAGGGTGGATACATGACTCAACATGTTTTTTTTTTAATGATTGGCTTCAAAATTTATCTTTTATTTTATATTTCTGAGGGGATTTGTTTTATGAGCCAGATGCAATGGTCAGCGCCTCTGTGTAGAGAGTGGCTATTTTTAATTTAGCTTTCATAACACTCACATCCAACCAACAGTGAATAAGAAAAGGGGTAAATTTGTGAAATAGAGTATGATACTAGTCATATAAGCGCACTGCAGTGTTTCGTTTTTTTTTTCTTATTTCATTCGCTTTGGTGCCTTGCTGCAATCCTCAAAGGTATTTGTGGTGACAGAGGAGAAAATCAAGTTTTATCTCGAAAAACATTTTTGCTCTCAGAGTTATCTGCTGAAAGAGAAAATCAGAATCAACATTGGGTCGACTTTAGTAGGCACTGAAATATGGTAATTATTTGCATCTCCCTACCAATGCTGACCAATCACAACCTTTCTTACCCCAATAAAAGAACACTACTTTAGATAGCAGGTGTGTTGCTCAGCTCTCTGTGGGGGAAGAAGGTAGTTGTATGTTACAAGCTGTGATGTAAATCTTTGACTATTTTCATTCTGCCTACAGCATTTTCAGAGATGGATGTTTGACCTATGGAATTACTACCCCAGACTTATGATTTTGGGATCCGAACAACCCTATTGCTATTTACCCCAGCTTTTTAATATCATTAGGCCTAAAGTACAATCATATGACTAGGATCAAGCTGCCTATATTTGTTATCAAAAATTTTCAAATTTAATAACAAGGACATTTTTCAATTTAAGAATCTCAACTGAATAGTGTATTTAGTTGAGATTTAGTTCAGTTGAAATTCTTAAATTGAAAGAAAAACAAACTCTATAACACATCCTATTAAAATTGTGCTCATCCCTCCCTTCGTTAGTTAGCACAACCATTGCACCCTACCAATACCTCATAAATAATGGACCATTCCATTTTGATCGAGCAGAAAGAGGGAAAAGACACTACTTGGTTTCAGTGAGAAAAAGAAAGAAAGAAGGGAAGATAAAAGTGGAGAGAGAGAATCAGATTAAGCTGATAAGAACAGATACTACATTTTGATCTTAGCCAAAATGCAAGGCTAAACCCCAATAAAAGTGCCATTTTTCTGATGCATGGCATTGAACAATGGAAAGTGAGTAAAGCAATCTCCAAAAATCCAGTTACCATAAAAAAATAACATCGTCTGCTGAAATATTTTAAAATTATTATTAAGAGAAATGTTCATAAGATGAAGATTTAGTGAAAATAAATGTCCTGGGAACAAAAAAGAAAATTAAAATTTGAAAATATTTGACAAGATAAGAGTTATGAAGAATGCACATAAGGAAAAGCTTTTTTTAATCTAAAATTTCATAATTCTGTAATTTTCAAACCAACTTACTAGTCCAATTTACACTCCTCCCCAGTCTTTTGAACAGGAGTAGAATTTTATCCCTCATTTTCTGTTTAGGATTGGATTTCCAGTTTCTTCTAAATTCTACTTGAATTCTATACTTCTAATGTCTCTGAAATTTATTTACTGTTTATTTTTTTTCCTCAATAGTAGAATATAAGTTTGTATAGAAGATAGTTTGCATATTGTCCGGTTCACACTCCTCCCAGTCTTTTGAACAGGAGTAAAGGTTTATCCTTTTCTTTCTGTTTAGGATTGAGTTTCTAGTTCCTTCTAAATTCTTTGTACTCTCTTTCACTCACTGTAACCCCTTGTGTCTTAGTGGCATTATTGGCTTGCTTGAGATGAATTGATATTAAAAAAAATTTTTTCTTTTTTTTTTTTTTTTTTATTAATGAAGGTTCCCATCTTGATAATCTCGACATACATCACAAAGATGAAATTGGGTGCATCAATAGATATGTTTCTACTATCTTCATTCATAGTTTTAACCATCTTGCCCAACTGACCCTATCATTGTGTCCCAGCAGCAATCTATTCCTAACCTTCCTTGTATTGTGTTAAATTAACCAAGAATAACTGCTAAGGTTCCAGTTTGAAGTTTCTGATCAGCACACCAGCCAATAGGAGATATTCCTTCATATTTGTCTCATCTATAATATCATACTGCACCAGGCTTCTAATTTTGGCTCTTCAGTTATGACGGGGAAATTTTATTGTTTTTTTTTTTGTTATTTCTTTTTTCCTTTCTGCAAAAGACTGGTTGCCAACCAAGGCTAAAGAAACCTATCAGTCCTGATATTCAACCCAGAGCTGGTGGGTGAGGAGAGATGGATTCATACCTTTCCCAAGGGTATTTGTGTGTAAGTGAATGTAACAAACTCAAATTCCATTTGAGTTCATTAAAAAAAAGTCACGTTAAAGATAAATATATATATATATATATATATATATATATATATATATATATATATATATATATATATATATATATTTACAAAAGAACAAAATATTTCTATTTTTTCTATTATAGTGTTTTTAAAAAAATTTATGATTTGAAAAAAAGTCAGCTATGTTAATATAAATTGGTAAGAAAGAACTGAGTGACAAAAATTTATAATTTATTTTTTTTTGACAAATCACATTTATCAAAAGTTAATTGAGAGTTGTGTAGCTAATTAATTTGAAATTAATTTGTATAAATTGGAGGAATTTTCTTCTCCCTCCTTTTGAACTAGATTTGACAGCAAAAAAAAAAAAAAAAAAAAAAAAAATTTTTATTTTTTTCAATTTTAAAAGTAAAGGGCTGAAAATATTTCAGTGATAACTTTCATAAAGATTGAGTGTTGTGATAATTTTTTTTTTTATTTCCCCTGTAGAAATTTGTTTATTTTGACAATATTATGTGGAAATGAAAGATGTCAATGTCTGAGAGAATGACTTCATAATGTTTATTAAAATCTGTTCTAAGCTTTGATGATGACTTGTTTTCCAATACATTTTCCGATTGTACAGAGTGCAATGGATAAATTGTCATCTAAGTTATGCAAAAATGAAAATAACACTGACAACTGATTTGAACAGATATATTTACCAAAATTACACAAAAATATCTTGAAATACTAAAGATAAAATCACCATTGGCTTCAATTGCTGCCATAATCCTTGCTTTCAGTTCTTCTTTAGTGTTACAAGGAGTTTTATTGGCCTCTCAACTACATCCCAAAATGATCAAGGGGGTTGCAGTCTGGGGAGGTAAGTGGCCAGATATTAGGGATGATGTGGTTGCAGAAATTATCTGACAGCCATGACTAGGTTCTGCTTGTGTGTCATGGTGCAAAGTTTTGTTGTCAGACATAAGGTCTTCCAGCAGCCACCGTTTTGACCCAGGGCAGCACTACCTCCTCAAAGCATTTGATGGAGGCCTCAGTGTTCAGTCTAAGGCCCTGTGGGAAGAAGAATGGAGGCATAACATCGCCATCATTAGGGATCACTCCAAACACCATGATGTTGACTGGATATATCAACCAACTCTTTCTGAATCCTCTGCACTGTCCTCAAATTGACACCCAAACATTCTGAAATATTCATATTGAAGCTTTTGATATGAATGCCAAGCAGTACAGCATGCCATTTTCAAATTTCTAATGGAGTGAATTGTGTCATGGTGGTCATTTTCTCACAGAAGGTGCCTAACTGACCCTAATACAGTCAACAAAATCAAAAACAAATAATGTGTATGTGCAAAATTAAAAATATAAAATGGTGACAATTTACCCATCACTCCCTGTATATGTAAAACCATTTCTATAATCACTTCAGTCCTCCAGGTAGAGATATTTGATTTTTTTTTTTAAATTGCTGGAAAGAAATAAGCTATTTTTTAATGACTGCAAATATATTTCCTTGATAAATGAATCCTTTGCATAGAGTTTAATTAAATTTTCAGCCATCTTTATAAAAAAATAGATTTACCACTGTGGATTTGGACAAATGGAAATTCCTGGAAATTGGCATGCATATAATCGATTTAGCATGATTGCAGGTTGAAAACTGTCAAGTAGAAAACATTTTGAGCCTTGTCCTCATTCATTCTTTCAACAACTTTGAAGGAAAGAAGTAAGATGGCATCATTTGCAACTGTTCATTTGATAAAACACAATCCGATCTTGAAAATTTTGCAGATGAACATTCAAGTTTTCAAATATTTTGAGAAATGATCTTAGAAAAGGTTTCTGCATAAAAATGTTTATTTAATGTTTGATTTGTGGTCATTTACAATGAAATAAGATGGAATGAATGATAAAGTTTTTGTTTGAAATGTCAAGTATCAGTCATGAATGGGTTAAAAGCTACCAAATTGCGAGGTTTCACTTCCAGAAGTTATAACATAATTTAATAAATAAAAGATCGTCACAAAATAGCAAACATTACAGAAGCACAAAACTCAACAAACGCAGAAATTCCGTCACAATTTCAGTCTTCAAGCGAATCTGTAAAAATGAGAAGAAAAAAATGGAGATTAAACACAAGATTTTGTCTGGCAATTGTCATAGAAAAGCTTACAATTTGCAACTTATTTCAAAACAATTCTAGGGCCAACCATTATCTTCTCTACATATCCCCATAAACTGTTCCTCTTACTCTGTAACCCTCTACCACAACTGGCTCTTGAAACATTATTGTAAGAAAAAAAAAAAAATTGGACATTGCAGTCAACAACTAGTAACAACAGTCTGTTTTATGCTTAAATGCTACCTTCAGGCCATATATATATATATGATTAATCTGAAACTTTTAAAACTATTTATTTTACATTCAACATCATCACTTGATAAGACACCGGAGGTGTTGAAGCAAAATGGCTATTTTTGTAGTGATTTCATAACATATTTATGTTATAAATTTTTTTAAATAAATAATTATATATATATATATATATATATATATATATATATATATATATTATAAAATAATACTGTTTAAAACCACAAACCCTGAAGACTGGAAATTTTACCAAGAAACATTGATATCAGGATAAAAATTAATATTTAAAATTAATCTCTCTCTATATATATATATATATATATATATAAAAGTTGGGATCAAATATGTTTGATAAGATAAAGAACAAATAGGAAATATTTATTAATCTAACGTGTTTCAATTTTGTTAAATTTCATCAGAGAATGAGGTATGAAGAAAAAAGACATTTTGGTATTTTTACTTTTGTGTTATTTGATTTTCATTGGTTGAAATTGAATTTGGAACACCACAAATTATACTAACATTTGTTTAACAAGTCAAATGCAGATGAAACATGATTAACCAGTGGAAATATATATATATATATATTGGACTCTAGCATAGTACAAGTTTGAAATTTGTTTGGAGACTAATTAGCATTTATTATATAAAAGTATGAATATCTGATATAAATGATAACTATACAAGTTATTTACAATATAAATAGGATATTCAACAGATTTATTTGATCATCTGACTGATGTGCAGTGTTCCATGAAACTCTGAAGTTGGTTGAAAGATAAGTATTGTGAAGGAAAATATTTCCCTACAAGTTTGGACCTACATCAAGAGGAGGAGCAGTGGCCTTTGTTGAAAACAGTCATTCACAGTTAAACATTCGCTTTGCTAGTTTCTATTCTACATTATGTTTCCCTGTTTCAAAGGGTCATAAACTTGTTAAACCAATTCCAGTTTTCTACTGTTCTTTTTGATAACTCAGTTACAACAATAACTGAACTTTTATTCATTTATTGAAAATATATATATATATAATGTTTCATTAAAGATGACTAACAAGTTACTGCAATTAAGCTTTTTATTTAATCTTTCTTGTGCTCATACAAGTGTTTTCTTTTCTAGACACAAAGTGTGTAAAAAGTGTACAAACATTCTGAATTTCTGAGCACTTTAGACTATACTTTTAGCCATAATCAAAGATGATTTTACTTTTTTAATTTAATTAAATGTATAGATTGTGCTATATATGTATCTAGAATTTTAGGAATGCTTTATTTTCCAAACACTGTCAGCACATTGTGGCCATGTTTGTAGTTAATGTTATTGAGTGTTGGCTTTTCCTTTTTTATTATTAGGGCTTCCATTATTTTTAATCTTTATTTACATATGGATGAGGTTATTATGCTTGTACTTGAGTCAGATAGGATTTTGCGTGAGTTTAAATTAGTTCTAATGGGGCTGTAGTCAGATAGGGGTAGCATAAGTCATCTGGATAGGCATGTAGTAATGTGACTGATATAATTATTTATAAGTTTGGTTTGATCAAACACAGTTCCTTAAGGGACATTTGAACTCGTAAATAATATTGGTTCTTTGTAGTTTTGATTTTGCAGGTATGTTGTTATTTTTTATGATAAGGTTAGCGGTTTTTTAATTTTTGGTAATAGATAATTCAATTTTCTTGTTCTGGTTTACTGGGGTAGTGTATTTCTTTATGATATTTCTAAGGGAAGATTCAACTTGCTTGACATGTGTTTAGTTGACTTGTATTGTTTGTTTTTTCAGTAAAATGAAAATAATCTGGTGGTCGATGTAGTGGAAAACCATCATTAACTAGTTTTTTTGTGTTTTGAGTTCTTTAAGATGAATTCTCGTGTTTGCTTTTAGGAAATTTTTTAAACTGCTATTTTATATCTAAAAAGTTTTCTTTTTAAAATAAAGGTGGCAAGAGTTTCTGCAAGTTGGTGTTTAATTGGAGAAATGTTGTCACTGTATTCTACAAGAATGTCTAAGAAGATTTTTTTTTGACTCAGTTCATAGGTAAAGTTAAATCTTTTTTCAAATGTAGTTTGATTAGCTTTTTTTTTGTTTGTTTTCACTAAAATCATTTGTAGTGGACATATTTTTGGGTTTAGACTTATAGTAATTGGAGAAGCACAAGTCAAGCAGATCTCTATACTTTGTCAACTCTTTAGACATGCTGAAACTGATATAAATTTCCTGTAGGTTATTGTGGATTGCTGTCAATGTAGTCTGCTTGGGATTACTTACCACCATGAAATTTTAAATGGTGAGCAAATCCCTACCACAGATGTTGCATCTATACTCAAAATGAAAATTATCAAGGATTAAGCTTTTCTTGGAACATTTTACAACCATCATATACCATTTTTCTACCTGGTAGATTGATTTTCTGTCAACATTTCCTAGCCAATGATATCAATACCGAGTTTTCAGATTGTTTTTAACAACATCCTTAAGCTGGATTTTTTGGTGGGTGGTTTGTATTTCAAACGTTTACCACATGGTAACACTCTGAAAAATAACTCGGTCATCTCCTATTCCAGTAAAGTGTGCCATTCATTTACTTGTTTCTGTTAGTTGGTTGATTTTGTTTAGTGGCATATCAAACTCTATGGTTATTTAATGCCAAAATGTAAATATTTTGAATGCATTTTTGTGTCTTTAACTATAAATAAAATTTATTGTTGGGCATATTGCTTTAAAATTGCATTGTTAGTAATTTTACTATCAATAGGTGTTCTTGGTCATTTTATAATATAAAATATAACAAAAAGAAAATTTTTTTTTAAAAAATGTATTTTTATACTTTCATAGTGTTTTGGTTTGTTTGGAGGGTTTACTGTTTGCCCATAGCTGGGACCCTAACAGGTGCTACCACCCTGGGTTAGGGTGGACTTGGGAATAACAGCAATCCTCAAAACTTCCAACCTCCTGATCAGAGGACTTGCTGCCAGATGTAGTTTAGCATCATACCCAGGACTAACTTGTTTATAAATGATGAGCTTCTTAATACTAGAGTGAATTGACAAGAAGTAACAATACTGTGACCCACTCTAACCCTGGGCTGATTGCAGCACCATCTGTGACGATCTAACCCTTGGCTGGTTCGGATGGAAATCTGGTTTACCACAGAACCATGTGTGACACTAACCCCTCTGGTTGTCTTGGTCTTGGTCGGGGTCAATGTCTGGTTAGATTCGATATCAACTTTGTCGTTCCCAGCTCGCCTCCAACGTCTGGTTACCGAAGTAACTGCTTTGATCTCTAGTCTAACCTACCCACGTTGTGATTTGATCTTAGGTAGACAAAATCAATCAGGCGTTGGGCCATAGTGCAAGCTGAATCTGGGTCAAAGGTGACACCGCACAAGTGTATGTAAAAGAAAAATAATGAAATAAACTCAAGAGGTTCAAATGTGTTGAAAAAATAACAAGTATCTTTATATCTGTCTGCTGAATACAGGTGTGTCTTTCTTCCAACCCGCTTCTATGGATTCATGACACTTTTGCATTTTCTTAAGCGGTCTTGATATCTTAAGTTGTTTTTTCAATAAACTGCTTTTTGGTATCTTCAGTCGATATTCATTAAAACTTGCTTTGGTGGTGTAAGTCTAAGTCGTTCTTCATTAAAAAAAAAAAAAAAAATTGGTTAGAAGTCTAAGTTGGAATGCATGGAAATCTTTCGGTCAGCTCCTGCAACAACAGCTCTCTGGGACTCTTTCTGAAACTGTGTCAGAAACTAAACTGAAACTGTCTGAGAGCTCTGGGGTCATTCGTTTATATGGACGCCGACCAAAACCAGGTTGGGGCCTGTCATGGTTTGGGTTCTTCAATAATTCCAAATCCCCAATAAGGATTCTCTTTGTCTTCGGACAGGAAAATTTATCAATTATTTTCTGTTTTAGAGGGGTTCTCCCCTTCTGTGGAGAGAGGTCGGAAGAGAATTATCCTCCTAAACTCTTCCTTTCTCATATTGGTATCTCATACCAATCCCTTCAATGGGCGTCAACAAGTTTCCCATCTTTCTCATATGTTCACCTTTGCCCATCACTCATGCCAATGAACACTCGGCAGTGTGGGTGTGGCTAGACTGGTCTCAGTTTACAATTATCACCCAAAGAAAAAAATTATCTTCTCTTTTCTTTCTTTCTTTTCTATCGGCCAAAATTCATATCGCGACTATTAAATTTTTATCTTAACTTGGGGTCACCTGGAATTCATTAGCGGACTTCTCCTGAACAATTAACTGGGTGGTCATTTCTATTTGGAGACTAAATCTCTTTGTCTTTCCCATATCAATATTATTGCATTCCCAGATGTGTTTTCTACAGAAAGTTTGTTGCTAACAGTTTGAATAGGTAGTAACAATGGCTTTCCTTGTTTTTTTTTTAACTGAATTCCAATTTTTCTGCTTTTATGCAGCTGCCCAAATTGAAATTTTATTATTGCTCTCGCGTGTGGTAGATTGTTATTCTTTATCTGTATTCTGTTTCCCTTGGTACTTCACTCTTATCATGACAAGATCCAGACATACAACAGATGGATCTCCTTCTGGACACAAGAACCAAAACCAAATGATATCTCTGATATCAGTGGCTATTCTTTTTGGGTGGTCTCACTGAAATTCCTTCCTGGTCGCATGCTTGACACAGTTTTGTTTTTCTTTTAGAATTCTGTTTTCCTTGTCACATCATTAATTAATTCTGACAGAATCCGAAACCCGCTTCTTTTACGAATTTTCTGTCTTCTGCGAAAAAATATCTTTCTTCATAAATGAAAATAAAATCTTTACCCATTTTTCTTTTGTTAAAAAAAAAATAATGTCGCTCGGTGTGTCTTTCGTTATAGCTCTTTCTCGCCTTAAGTATTTCTTGTTTTTAATTTCCATGCTTAATTAGTTATCCAATTACCATAGCTAAATAGTGTCACAATGCAAACGTTTATGAAGTTGTTTTAATAAATAAATTCCTAGTTTTCATAATAACTAATACATAAATAATATGATTTATGTCTATTTTGCTATTTTTAATAAAGCTATTTAGTTAATTACCAAAAACATTAATGGAGTGATCAAAATTATGAAACATAAATTCTAAATCTCCCTGAAGATGCAAAAAGAAAGAAAATATTTCTGTTAAATACAAGGTGTATCAGAAAAGAAAGAGGGTCCCCTGGATGAACACTGCTGTGCTGGAGCAAACCTCCCTACTCATCTGACCTGGTTCAGTTTGATTTTTTTCCTTTTTTCCCCATAGCTCAAGGGGAGCTATTTTCTTGACATGGAAGTCATCAAGAGGGCCGTGATGATGTAGTTGAAGACAATCCTGGGAGAATCCTTCCAGGAGTGCATGGAGGCATGGTGGAGAAGGATGGGACAGTGACTCGGGTGGGGATCATTTTGGAGGGGAAAACATGTAGCTTGTAGTTTGGATTTGACATTAATTTTGTTGTGACTTCAGTCCTGTTTCTTTTCTGACACACCTTGTAAATGCAAAAGATAGATTCAATGCCCTTGTACCTTGGAATTGCAAAGATTTAGAACCTTTGGCAGAAGCAGCTAATGGATACAGCAAACGATCATCATTGGAATTCTTTATTTCTTGTTTTTTATTTGGTCCACACCACACAGCATTCAGTTCTTCATTTTGAGATTTCTCGGCAAAATCTCTGAAAAATTTAAATTCCCATTATAAATAAAACATATTAATGCTTGCATTTCATTTTTTGCTTTTAGTTTTAATATTCTAATAAAAATAAGAGAGAATGTGTAAAATGTACTTGGAAGATTCTGACCAATATTTATATTTCTTCATAAAACAATCCAGCAAATTTATGACCAAGGCAAAAAGTTAATTAAATATGATATCATTTAAACCATTTACAAAATGGAATGAGTTTCCATTGTTCAACATAGGGTGGATAGAAGAGAAATCATGGGAAAAATAAAAAAAATAAATATTTTGAAAACTTGTAAAATCCCAATATGATATTAAATGAAAAAGTAAAGGCAATTTCAATACAACACATTTATTTCCACTGATGAAAAACAAATGCATATGTCACTTTTCAACATAGTTCCCCCAGTGATGCACCTCTGGTATCATTCAATGAATTTCTGAAAAGAAGTTTTTTTGGTTGCCATGTCTACATCACTTGTTCAGGCAACCGATATGCACAAACTTTATATTACCTGAAGTCAACATACACCATGGCTTGTGTAGAACCACATCTGATACCAGCAATTGCCACCACTTGTGCTAATGCGATTCATCAGTCTTCCCTGACCAAAGCCATCCGCCCTCTGGATGTGTTCTTCCCTGTGCAATGTTGATGGAAGACCAGACTGGCTTTTGTCTGTTTTACTTGTTCTTTCTGCTTTAATGTATTCTAACTCCGCATACACCTTTCATTGATTCAGGGTTTATGTTCCATACTGCATCAACATCTGGCGATGGATTTCCACTGGTTTGAATCTTTCTGCCCACAGAAAGCTCACTACGTTTTTTCTCAATAATGCAATCAATGAATTAAGCATCCATGCTTCTGACCTCATTACTCCCTGCCACTCAACTGAACAATGGAATACTGCATGTGACTAGCTACTCATCACCACATGTGCACATGTGGTGTCACACGTAAATGCCTGCCTGTTGCGTTTACAGCACAATTTTAAAATTGCCTTCAATTTCTGATTTACCCTCATCTTTTAGTAACAATGCCTTTATAGTTCTTTATCTATAAAATACATTATTTATTCTGTCCTGCCATTTTGTAAGGTGATCTTTTTTAAAGAATGACAATTTTAGAACAATTCATTACATTGTATTAAATACCAATAAAAATAAAATATGTAAACAAAAATTAAAAGAACTCAAATTAAGGCATTTGCACTTTCCTTTAAAACCCTTATCTCTTCTTTCTTTCTTTCTTTCTCTCTCTAAACTTCTCTTTCTATACTTCTCTCAACTAACAAGAAGGCAGCCTTCAATAAAAAGACAAAGAAAAAAAAACTTAACCTGGCCAAAAAACACTGGAAGTTAGTAGGAGTAGAGCTTACTTATTTGTGACTGAAAATTACCCAAAATCAGGAAGGAGGCTCCATGCTTAACTTCTGTTTTAAAAAAAAAAAATGAAAATCAAAAGGAATGCCGGAAAATAAAATAATTTGGCCAATCAAAAAAAATTGATACAAAGAGACTTTTGAATTAGCCAAATCCATGTTTACACCAAATTCTCAAATCTATTCAAAAGTATAAAACCTGACACCTCTAGGGAGAAAGGAGAACAGAATGACCCCAGGAGAGAACAAAAGAAACAATTAAGAGGTCATCTGCTACTTACATTTCTGCTCTGTTCAGGGCCAAGAGAAAACACAGTATGTTGACATCTGACCTAATTTCTGACATTACTACTACCCCTATCATGGTCTTTCAACTATCGAAATGGACATAACTTCAGACTATTATCAATATCTGCTTTGTTAACAAACTTTTTGCTACACTGAATACCAAAAGACTCACTCAGCACTGTAAAGAAAATAAATATATTATTTTAAACGTTTGAATCAGTTCATTTTATTCCCGAAGTTTCAGATAAAACAATTATCCTACTACCTATCCACACGGGCAACGTTCATGAAGTGAAACCCATATGCTACAACATATTTACTAGAGAGTGCAAAGTTTTAAATGCACTGACTTGTTAACAATGAATGTCATCCTTGAATTTGCATTTCATTTTCAATGACTTGAGAAAAAATAAGAATTAGTGCTTTTGTGATGTTGGACGGCTTCACTTGTCACTTTTGCTATGTCAAGCAAAAGCTCATTATCAGTTCCAGAAATCCTCGTTATATTTGAGACTTTGTAGAGGCCGGTACTACTAGTAACGCCTTTCAATAACTTGTTCAAGCAGTAATCGCCGAATAATGATGAGAAGAGAATCATAATCCAAATAGTAGTAGAGTAGAGAGAGTGAACGTATAGCAATAGTGGATAGACAAGAAGAATAAACAGTGATCATATCACGCTACTTCCTATTTATTCACTTCCTTTATGATCATGTGATTTACTTAATAATGGAATCACCCATGTTACTCACTGACAATCTAGATCCAAACCACAGTGTCAGCAATGGCACTTACTCTTATATAACAAGTGCAATTCAACTTGCTTCTGAAATCTTATTTTTAACATAAGTTCAAATTTGTTTCTGATTCAGGTAAGGCCATTTGTTCTTAAGAAATGAATTTCAAATAAAAGATAAAAAAATATGTCACTTTTAATTTGTTGGTTAAAGCTTACCTGCTTGCAACTGATTGAGAAATGCTTTTATTAAAGATAGAGCTCTCTTCCAAAATGTCCCCTGGAAAAGAGAGAGAACAAAATCTGATAAGGTTAAATCCAAAACAATTACTAATTGAAATTGTTAGAGAATGAGTTAAAAGAAAATGGAATTCATTCTTGCAGTTCAGCCCAACATTAAATATACTAGTCTAACAAAGCGATTTTCAAACTTCTTCCCACAGCAAGAACTACATTTTGCATTGCAACCCATTATAATAATGTGTATTAAATCAAAGACAAACTCTGTTCACTAGGTACATTTATTTTGCATCAACAATTTATAAGCATATTTCTTATGATGCATACATATTGGATTTGTATGTATCATACAAATGTATGAATATAAAATTATTACTTTTAAAAAACTAGCCCATTCTTAAATTTCGCAGATACAACAACCAAATCACTGCACATATTCAGCACATTTGTAATGAAAATTTAAACATTCTGCCAAAGAGGCTCCCTTTTCATTGATGAAATTCCTACAAGATAAAGAACATCTATATTCAAAAGGTGAAAAACAATTCCTTCAATGTACTTACCAGACTTATTTGCTAATTTGTTCTCAAAGATTCGCAGTTTCTTCTTTAAATCTCGGCTCGTTTTCTTGTAATAATATAATTCTTTTTCCAGTTGGTAAATTCTGATAAAAAACAGGTGAAATTTAATCATTAGAAAACTTTATTATTACTTTGATAAATTTACTAATGGTTGGAAAATCATGAATCATTCTGTAAGGGGAATGCAAAAAAAATGTTTATCATGAATAAAATTAAAAATAAAAAAGTATTAAGCAAGTTTTCTTTAAAATTGTCCCAGGTGAACAGTTGTCATTTTGTCTTCTGAATTATTTAGTTGACTTAATATCTTTCAACTGATATGAGGAAGACCAGAAAACAGAAGAATACCTCTCACCTTTGTACCATTGAGAATGGTCATAGAATCTGCTGACCCTCTAAACAATATTGCAAACCTGGACAACATTTACTTCATTATCCTAATTTATTTAAATGCCACCCTCCATCAAACTTGCTCCCTCATCTCTAGGTTCACCAATGCCAAAGAACTTATGAACAAATAAAAAAAAAAAGGAATAAAAAAAAAAAAAATTTTGTCTGAAATCTTCAAAATACTTTGAATATTTCCAAGATGACCTTTACATTATCAAGTATACTCTCTAAATAAAAGTTAAAATTTGACATTTTGTAGAAGACATGTTGGTAAACAGTTTAGTTTAAGAATTATTCTCCATACAAGATCAGGTTTTTCAATATGATTTTGGGTGGAGAATTTCCCCTTGTCACTTTCATTTTGTTTTCTTGATTATATTTATAGAAAATACCTCATTTGAATATGTGATTTTTTTTTTTTTATTTTATACAAGGTAACCAAAAAAGTTTTTGCCATTTTTTATTCATTAGAAAGGAATACATGCTGACATACCTGACATATTGTTTGTCCTCAAAAAAATCATCATCAGCATTTTGTCAATGTGAATCCAGCTGTGAAATGCCCTGGTGGTAAAAATTATGTGTCCTGGATGCAAAGTATTCTGTGAGTGTCTGCCACAGATTTATCTCATTTTCAAAGGATTTCCCACAAAGGTGGTTGTACAGGAAATGAAAGAGGTGGTCATCTATTGGCACTAGGTCTGAGGAATAAGTTTGATGGCACAGTGTCTCCCAGCCAAATTGCCATATGGGATCCCTGGCTACCTGCACCACATGGGGCCTGGCATTGTCATGGAGAGAACAGTACATACTTGCAATTAGCCAATTCTGGCTCCTCCTGCTTCAGTGCCTTTGCCCACATTCCAACTGCTGCAAGTACCACTCTGCAGTGATGCTTTGGCTCGTTGGTCGACTAGTCTGCCAGAGACAGAGCATGATCTTGCTTAGTCTTGTGGTGTGAGGCACAGAGTCCCATGGTGAAAACCACTGTCTAGCATCTGAAGTCATGTGAAAGGTTTTGTTTCAGTTCCTCATGACCAGTGAACAGCGTTCAAGTTCTTGCCAGTGTAAAATTATTTGCCAATTATATTATTTAACCAAGAATGCAGTACTTCAAAGAATTTTCTCTCAACAATTCAAGAAAGTGAATTATTTCAAACTATCTCTCTTCATCTACTTTTGAAAGTATGCAACCATATATCCCTTTGGTAAGCAATAAACTATCTTACTATTGTTTTAAACATTTTTAATATTATTTTATGTCAGATCATTTAATCTGTTGTATGAACATTTCCTCTTTATGACAATTCATTAAAACTATGGCCTTTAAGAATTCTGATTTATTTTTCTGAAATGAGCTACTGACACAACTTTAAGCATGTAAATTTGTAAATAAATTTCTTATATTGTTTTGTTAAAACTACCCGTGTGTTTCTTCATCATTATCATCTTTCATTAATCTTCTTGGTATGGGTAAATCAACTGTTCATTTTAACTCCTAAGCCTCACACCACTATAATACAACTCAAGTGATAAACTAGGAGTGAGACCTACTCCTGTCCTCAGCTCTGGATTAAATGCTAGGCTACTGAACCCTAGCATGAGAGCATACTCAGCTAATGAAAGATCCCTGACAGAAACCTCATCAAATCAGTCCAAGCATAGTGAATATGACATTAGCCATAGCCAAATAAAATATCACTAGCATCCATGAAAGAGAATGTGGTAGGGCATCCTTTTTAGGAGTGTGAAAAATATGATGATAAAGATAATTACTATTCAATATTTGAAGAGTCAGAAAAGGACTTACTTTGTATTGAGACTTGTCTGTCTTTCTGAACCTGTATCACTATGGGACTGTGCAAGTTGGTGCATCAACACACCAATTTTTTGTTCATATTGTTGTTGCTGCTGGGTGAGTTTACGGTCCATCTCAATTGCTGCTTTCTGGAGAGCATTCTGTGACTCAAACAAAAGCTGTTCTTGTTCTTCTACTTTCATCTACAAAAATGACACATGGAAGAGATACTTAGACTTAAGTTATCTAATACTTAGTAATTTGTAGTATTTGTTTTGGGTTTGCTGAAAATTATAACAATTTAGTAACATGTGTTTAACAGTGTATGGTTCCTGGCATGAGACACATACTGAGAGTTCCTCATTTTTTAGTAGGATGTTAATGGGTTATATGTGTGTGTCCTATATGGAGTCTGGCTAGTACTCCCCTCCTCTCTACTTATCTTTCTGTAGCTTGGTTGTCTTTCACTAATGATTGGTTGGATGTTAGATGTCCTTTGTTGAGTGCTACATGTGTAGTTATATTGAATATAGTTTTTTACTTTTATTTTATCATTTGATTTTAGGAATGTTTCTTGAAGGCAAATGACAGTGGGAAGTCGATTCATTATGAGTAGTTCATTTATGTTTGCTTTTAGGCCTTGACAATTCAATTGTATAATTTTTTGCATCATGCTTGTGTATCAGTGTTGGTATGAGTTTTTGCTTTTCTGATTTATGTTTAATGGGTGAAGTGTCCATAATTTCTATGCTCTCTGGTCTGTTAGCACTTTGTTTCTCGTCATGTTTTGTTCTTCAAAGGTGTTTTGATTCTGCTTGTTTGTTCAGTCTTGTCTGATTTGATTTTCCATTAGGTTCTTTTGGTAATCTTTGGATGATGACCATTCCCTTATTTGAGGTAAGATAGAGTTTTGTTCATCTATATCCATTTCTCTTGGTTTTTCAATGACATACTGGGTTGTGTTATTCATTTTATGAACCTTTTGTTTCTCTAATCAATGTTTAAAGAGTTCTATTTCTCAAAGGATTTTTGTATTTGGGATTAGGGATTCCGAGTTATTTGTTTTGTACTTATAGATTCTTTTTTATTTGAGGTTGACAGGATAAGATTTGTTTTGACTATGGGTATTTAGTTTATGTGTGATATACTAAATTTTAGTAGTTCTATTAGTTTTTTTAATTCATTTATTAGAGTTGTAAGGTCTTGTTTTCTTATTGTGTTGTTCTCTTGGATGTCATTTTGGTAATTTGTTATTTTAACAATATTTGCATATGATGTTGGAATTGAGTTAGTTCTGGCCAGTTTTCTAACTTATTGGAACAAGATTATTTATGTGTATTTTATTCTTACTATTTGCTTTTCCTTTTTCCAGATGTTATACTCTTTAGAAACAGCATGCTGTACTGCTTGGCATTCATACAAGAAGTGCCAACACAAACATTTCAGAGAGTTTGGGGGCCAATCTGAGGCCAGTGTAGGGGATTCAGAAAGAGTTGGATAAGTCTAATGGTGTTTACAAAGGTATGGCAGTTCAAAAAAATCATTGATTATTCTGATAAGAAACAAACTCCCAAATTTGTTGTTGAGGGCCTCAAACTCATCAGAGAGGCCTACATCAAGCGCCTTGAGGAGGTATAGTTGTCTGGCAACAGGATTCTGCACCATGCAACACAAGCAGTAGAACACAGTCATTGCTGTCAGACAATTTCTGCAACGACATCACCCCTTACATCTGGCCAGCTAACTCTCCAGACTGCAATCCCCTTAATTATCATGCGTGGGCAGAGTTGAGGAAGAGACCAAAAAAGCTCCTTGTAACACTAAAGATAAATTGAAGGCAAGGATTATGGCAGCATTCACCAACTTAAACAAGGAGACTGCCCAGAAGTATTGCAGGAGATTCTGGAGGCTGAGGTTAAAACCAATAGCAATTTTATTTATTAAATCTATTCTTTATTATTTCAAGATATTTTTGTGTAATTTTGTTAAATATATCTGTTAAAATGAGATGTCAGTATTATTTTCAATTTTGTGTAATTCAGACTACAATTTATCCCTCACACCCTGTATATTGATGCTGATCAAAATCAAACTATTTTACAATAAAATAACCACTTTCTGACTTTATTTAGTTCTAATCAATAGCTGTTGGAATAATCTAAAATATGAATATTTTGTATGACTTTCTCTTAGCATTGTGGATGAAATACAATAAAAAAAAATAGACATTAATAACTCTGGCAATAACCAGATAAAACAGACATATAATCTTGCTTAATAACTCCTTAACATCTACTATCCAAAACAATTTATCCAATCTTAAAATAGTTACAATCACATCCAAAACTATTATGGATTGGATCAGAGCCAAAAGTATCCGCAACAATACCAATTCTGAAGCGTATATATATATATATATATATATATATATATAAAAGATAACTAAGCAGAAAAACTATTCCTAGCCAATGCGTTTTATCCTCTGAGGGACTTTTTCAAGGCAAATATAGGGTTTATTTTGTTGCACATGTTTATATACAAGAGCCAGGATGTCATTGGTTTATAAAGGCTTTTAAATTTTAGAACATTCATGAATATTCATCAGGTGGTTGAAAGGTCAGTCAGAACATGTGGAGGATACAAAGCACCATCACTCAAAGTCTGGTAAGTGACTAATATTCAAGAAATATTCAGCTATATAGATATGGGATATTTTGTTCTGTATATTTTATAATTTGATGCTATGAATTTTCTTAAATACTTGGACCCCTTACACTAAAACAAAGCAACCCCAATTTTTTTTCTTGCATATCAACTTACCTCAAGTTCATGAACTTCTTTTGTTATTTTTCTGTCAGATTCCCGTAAAGTGATGACTTTTTCAAAATATCTTGAAAGAAGGGATCGGGTCTCTGTTGGATTCAGTGTACTGAAGAAATTCAAAATGGCAGTGTCATTCTGGAAGAAAAAAAAAACAAGTCAAGAGAAATTTACAAAAATATCTAGCAAAATTCTCTCAAATTAATTTCTAATAAACTATGAGAGTTCAAGAATTTCAAATGCGGGAGGGTGAAGGAGATAAAAAAAAATAGGTCATAGGTAGTATAAAAAATCCTTGAAAATTTAAGAATTTCCCAGAATACTGTGCAAAATGCTAAAAATAGCTATGTGATAATGTTCTAGAGTTTTCATATTGCATAATACGACACACATATACCATATTTTCTTGTGCATAATATGAGAAATTTTCAGTGAAAACTAAAAGCAAAAAGAGGGTGTGTGTATTATGCAAAAGTCTTCAGAAATTTTTACTCAGCTTAAAAAGTATTATATTTGAAACAACAGGATTGCAAATACAATCAGTTAGCCCAACAGATAATAAAACACAAAGTAGGCGGGTGTTGATAACAATTATTTATAAAAATTATTTATGTGTTGGCAATATTTGTTCTTTGGGAATCAGCATAATTGAATGTCTTTTGTGTCGGTTTTGCTCACAAGATAAAGTTTGTTTTTATTTTGATTTTCTTGTTTTTCTATAAGTTTTTCTCTCCTTATTCTTAATGGAAGACAATATTTTTTTTATTTTCATAGTTTATTAATATATAGAAAGATAATAAAGTCATATCAAACAGAAATCTATGATAGATTAATTAACACTTTAAAATGTATTATCAGATTAGCACCTAGTTAGCACCTTTCCTCAAAAATTCAAAAATAAGTTTTGAAATGGAAATTAGGTGAAGAAACATATAATGGCTAAACATCCACTTCATTTCTATTCTTTAATATCATGAAAAAATAAATATTTTAATGAAATATACATTGACATTGAGATTTTAATGGATAATATGGTACCTTACAAAAAAAAAAAAAAAAATTTACATAGGGATGGCTGTGCTACAGGGTTGTATTATACACAAACATGTCATTTATCCATTGTCTTCAGAAACACAGTCATATTATACACAAATATGGTTTATGGAATTGTTGCCAGAGTTTCCTAAATGCTGGCATACACTATATATATATATATATATATATATATATATATATATACACACAGTATAGTGTTATGCATCTGAGGTTTGATCATTTCTCTTGAGTTCTGCTTTTTATGAAGAGAGTTTCAGGAACCAATTTTTTTCTCTAACTGAAGGCAGAAATAGTTTTAAAATTGTTGAAAGGGCAGATTTATGCTTCTGCTTACAAAAATAGCACCAGACACCAACACACTGATAAATCGCCAAACTCAATTTTCATTAATTACCAATTCTTTACTTACCTGTATATGCATGAATTTGACACTAGTTTTGTTTTTTCAAAATTGTTGTGCCAAAGTTCAATGGTTCCGTAGCCTAAACTGGTGAGAAATTTTCAGGGAAGGTGGTGCGAAATGAGCACTGCAGGTGAGCCATACTTGTACAAATAGCAGTTGAACACCCAAAAACTGCATCATGGTGATCTCCCCACCACCACCTCAACAATCAAATGATTGGTTAAATCTCTAGGTAGGTTTTAAGCGTTTTTCTTTCTTTTTTTTTTTTTTGAATATTTCATCAAATGCTCCAAGAAATTATACTGACTGTTTTGCGCCTCCATTAAAAAAATAAAAAATAGGTGGGTTAATATTTTAATGTTTTAATTTTTTTTTTAAATATTTTAGATAATGTTCCCTCAACACAAGAACTGACATTATCTCCTCCCCTCACATTAGAAAATATGAAAAACAAGGTGGAAGCAAGAAAAATGAAATAATCAATCACTTTGGTTAATGTAAATTAACTATAATTTTATTATACATATATAAAATCAGATAATAAACTGATTGATTATTAGTCCTTGTTTGTCAGTTTAAAAAAAAATTTTTGCTTTATTTGTCATTTTTTAAAAACAAGGAAGTGGGTATGACTGATGTGACATGACAGCCAAAATAATTTTGAGAAATCTTAATTTAAAATGTTGGGATCTTTTTACCCAGGTTTTTGCTGTTATCTGAGTGCCCAGATTCCAAACATTTAATAACAATATATCTTTTAAATTAAACATAAAAGAAGGTTATTTTCTGGAGGAAAAGTAGAATGTCAGTTGACATAACATTTATAGATTCTCTTCAGAAATCTACAATAGCAATAAAATGTTCAATTTCTCTTGCAGTGAATTTTGTTTTATAAAGTAAATAAATGTTTGTAATGTGGTGTGAATATGCGTGAACAGACTTACTTATGACCGTCAGCCTAATGTATTTGTGAGTTCATAAACCTCACAAATTTCTTTGAACCTCAAGAAGATGTAGGTTTCTATTTTTATATCCATAAGGGGATTCAAAATCTAATTTCACATAGAGGTGTAACCTTTTTGAATACAAGGCTTTCATTGGTTATGAAATAATTTCACACTGGCTCATCACAATCTTTTTCTCAAATTTGCAGGAGTGAAGGCAGTTGTTGTTGTTTTTTAAATGGTTCAAAAATAACACGTCGTACGTCTACAACTACACCCGCAAGTATTTTGGCAGTATTTGCTCCTGTAATGATTGTTTATCAAACAAACCTTCTGATGGGATTTTATTGGTTGAAAAAATAAATAGGATTTAAAGGAGCATTTAAGAATAAATATTACAAGGGTAGCAAAATTTTTAACAATTTCATGCAAACATCATATTTCCTGCAAGTATCATATTTGACACATTTTACTCACTAAATAATTGATCTGGTATATGGTGTAGGTTTTTTTCTGTCTCATATTGCTTCTAGAGAGCCAAAATGAAAACTTCAAATCTGAGGGGCAATATTACTCACTTGTGTCGTAAACCAAGACTGTCTCAATTCCATTTGCTGGCTCTCAATTGCTTTGTTCTTGTATTCAATAGCAGCATTTAATTCTTCTACAGCTTCTTCCAATTCAATAAGTCTGAAGCATTAATTATAAAAGCAGAATTAAACAACCACAAACTTCATTTGAGTCATTGAGTTTAAACCAAAATCATGCAGTAGACAAGAAAATGGCTTTACTTCATTAATCTCTTCATTAAGAATTTATTTAAATTACAACACAAAGATAATGAATTGTTAATGAAACTGAAAATATAAAGTTTTTAACTTTTCCAAAGGTGTTCTTAAGATCTGTGTGGTTACCCCACCTTGTTTGCTAGGGATTTCCTTAACACCCTAATAGATGGCATTGTATAAAGCAGTATAAAAGGAAAGGACATAAACCCTCATTCTCTCTTTTTCCTTTTTCATGTAATGCTGAAGTGACAATACATATCTTGTTTCCCCTCTGGAGAAAATTCTTAGTTCCTGGGTGAAACAACTTCTTAGTTCCTGGGTGAACCACATGTCACATTGCATGTATTAGAGAGAGACTGCTGCCCAAATATACAACTCATATATATATATATATATATATATATATATATATATATATATATCACATATATTTAAAAAAAAACAAGGTTTTTAAACATAGCACATGATGTGTAAAAATATTTAAATTTCTAAATCCTATTAAAATCAGTAACATTTTAAACACCTCATAGAATTAAAACTTTCTTAAATTAATCAAACTGTTTTCCTGAATCCTTCAGATTCCATGACTGTCCAAAATTCAAGATGAAATAATGGAAAATGACCATGAAAAACAAATTATTGCAACAAGTTTTCAATCAATCAGTAAACTTCTGGACCATTTTTCTGAATATCTTTCAATTTTATAGGATCAGATGGCTATTGTTTTCATGGAATTATTCACTCTTCGATCTATGGCAAATTTCAGTGGTTAGCATTAAGAAATTATGCTTCAATTTTCTGAGAAAAAAACTTCTAAATAATATCATTTAAAAATTTGGTGTGAAATCATTGAATAAAAAAGGTTTCATTAAATGGCTCGCCAATGTAAATAATGAAAGTTTTGAGTGAAAAAAATAAATGTCATCTGACAAATTTATGTTGTTGTGTTGTCATCAACTGCATCTTGTTAAAAAGAAAACTGATCAAGCCATTTGAGGTTTTATCAAGCCCTAACCAATGTTGACCCTTTTTTTTCTCAAGTCTTTGACCTTATCTGGGTGTGGTGGGTTTTAGGTCCCAACTTGTTCTAAATGTTTACCCCCACCAAAAAAAAAATCAAAATTTTTTGGCAATTTTCCTATTGATGCTATTTTTTTAAAAAAAAAAATAAAAAAAAAAAATTTTGGTTTCTGGTGGTCAAATTCAGATTCTTTTTATTTTACTAAACCCGTATATCTAAAAAACAATTTTTTACCCCTGACAAATTTTTACCAATGGACCTTGAAGATAAAATTGACCCTTAACAATGTTGATTTCCTTCAAAATAACCAATTTTATTCCTGAAATTGTTTGCTTATGATCTAAACAAAATCAAAAAATGGTTAAACCCTCCATTAATGTGGAAAAAATTTTTCAATAGAACTAGAAAAAAAACAAAATTTTCAAAATTTTTATTTTATTCCCCTGAAAAAACATTTTGAAAATCTTCTATAAATAACCCATTTTACTTTTAATATGAAAGAATATATCATTTGCTTTCAAAAAATAAAGTTTCATGGGGTTCAGATCAAAAGTTTCCTTGATTAAATTTATTTGTTTCCAAAACAGTCATTTTTAAAATATTTTACCCCTATAAAATTATGAAAATTCATTTTTTAGAGAAAAATTGTGACAAATTGTTTTGCCATTTTTGTGATGATTTTTACCTGGGATGTCAATTTTTACCATAGCAAACCTGAATTGACTTTATTTAAGTTCAGTGGGGCTGATCAAAATATAAACATATATAAAAAGAAAAACAAGTTTTATTAAAAATACCAGACAATGTGTCTAAAAATTTTTTCAAATTTTCTAACTTTGAATTAAAATTGGTAACATCTGTCTATGTTTCTGAGATGAGATATTGTTAACTATTTACATTAATCAAACTTTTGTCCTCATTTTGTCAGATTCCATTACCTTCTTTCTTCATGATTTGATAACAAAACTCCATCTTGTAACTTTTCATTCATTCCAATCACTTGCTTCTTCAATTTCTCTTGAATATCTTTCAATTTGTCAACTTCAGCCATCAAATTGTTTTCATCTTGTTCTTCTTCGGTCCCTTTGGAAATTTCAAAGATTTTTTAAAATATTCTAGTTTTTTTGCTCAAAAGATTCAAGGTTTTCCTGTGTCCCAAAACATTCTATAATTTGTCATTTAAAAAAAAAAAAAAAAAAGTTTCATAGTAAGATATATAAGTAAACAATGAAAGTTTTGAGTGAAAAATATAAAATCTTTTTGACAAATTTATGTTGTCCTGGGTATGACGATAAACTACATCTGATAGCGAGACCTCTGACTGGAAGATTTGAGGTTTTGATGAGCCTGGAACCACCTCTTAATTGTTAATGGAGAACAAGTTTAAATCCTGACCCTGGGTGGTAGCACCTATTAGGGTCCCAGCTATTTTAAATAATGATATGATCCCCCGATAAAAAAAATCAATTTCATTTTAAATAAAATAAGGGTTGTTACATTTTTATAGCAAACTAATGGTCAATACAAAACTCAAAAAATATAAAAAAAAAACATTTTTATAGTAAAATTATAACATTACATTTTATGATCAAACTATATATCTAAAAACACACCTTTACTCAAAGTATGAAATTATGTATAGTTGAAGATAAAATTGCACTCAACATATTTAGATTTTGGCATTAAATAACCTACAGTGATGTTGATATGCTGTTAAACAAAATCAACAAACTAATGCAACCCTCTTTACAAAAATATGTCAATGAAACCTGATCTACAAACTAATTTCTTACAAAAAATACATATTCTATTCATATGAACCTATCCTAAAAATCTTGCTGGCATTAAATAACCCATTGAGATTGATATGCCGTAAAATGAAATAAACTAAACAAAGTTTATAAGAGGAGGAATAAGGTTTCCATTACTTTTTGAATTTATTTGTTTCCAAATCTGAAATTAATAAAATCACAGTTACAATAAATAATTTATTGACTAAACAATAATTTTTTTAAAAATGCATTAAAGAAAAATTGTAAAATGATCTCACTGTCCTTAAACCTGGCAAATGTTAATAAGAGGGAACATGGCAGATTGGTTCCAGGTTACAAAGTCTGGACAAAAAGAGATCACGACTGGTGTTTAAAAATGAAAAACTTGTAAAAATATCAATTCAACTTTAATGTCCTTTAAAGAATCCCTTCTGAATGACTTTTACACATTTTTTCCAAATTGTTACCATTAACAGAAAAAAATACATGGAACTACCTTTTGGGATAGTGCTATTACCTCATTTTAATTCTCTTTGAATTTCCACAATATCTGGAAATGTTGTTCCTTTCTTAAAAGATTTGATTTTGAAGTTGTGAAAACCTGAAATCTAAAAAAATATGAAAGTGAATTGTTGCATTTGGGAATGTCATACTTGGCCAAAAAAATTGTTGCAAAAGCTATAGTCAATGATGGAAAACATTGGTGTGGTGAGACTGCCATCAATTCAAACTTTCAAAATGGCTATAAACAACAAAAAAAGAGTTTAATATTCTAACTTTAGTAAATGCACAAAAATCATTTTCAATTTCAATCTGTAAATAGCATCACTGTATTAGTTTTTCCATTACTAAAACAACAGTTCCAATACTTTTTGATCAAACTTTGTATACCAGATTTGTTGATAAGAATAGACATTCATTTTCTCAGTATTTACAATGATTTACAAGTAAAACATTTCACTTAAGAAAACATGAAATTTTAATGCTTTTAATAAATAGAAACAACAAATAAAATGGTAAATGGAGAACAAGTTTAAATCCTTTTGAAATATGTATGGCATTATTTAGCTTTAATATTTTATTAACTGATATGATCACTGATAACAAATGTCCTTATTTCATTGGTGTAATGCTAAAAGGGTTGTTAAGTGCATTTTTGGTGAAAACAAAGAAGAAATGAAAAGGCCTAACTCAACCTTCTTGCATAATACAATATTTTTTTTTAAATTCCCCTTTACAAAAACTCCTTGTATCAGAATATTGTTTATATCATTTGTACAGAGATCATTGTGGTTTGGTTTGTTTTTCTTTAGTATAATCAACCTCAATGGTATTTAATGCCGACAACTTTCTTTTTTTTTTTTTCTGGTAACATTTTTGTTTTTGTCTAAAATCTAATTTCTTCAATTGGAAAATTTTCTTATTATTTTTTTAAAAAAATTTATAGATGGTAATATTATAAAAAACATACAGAGAGCAACATTATTTTTTTAAAATGTATTATCAGGGGTTAAAATTGGATATAGTTTATTGTCTTACCCAGGATGCACATGTAGAATCGTCATACCCAGGACGCACATGTAGTTTAATAAAACAACTATTTGCCCATAGCTGGTAAATTACATGCTACCACCCTGGATCAAAGTGGACCTTCAGGAAAACCAATCAATTTTAAGGTGGTTCCATGTTTTAATGAAACCTCCTGATCAGAGGCCTTGTTGTTGGAATGAAATTTAGAACCTTACAAAGGACACTGATTTTTAAACAAATACTCAGGACATGGATGTAGTTTATCATCATACCTAGGATGCAGAGAAAATCTTGTGCTTAAAAAAAATGGAAAAACTTGTAAAAATATTCTATATCAACTTACACCCTTTTAGAATCACAAGAATGACTTATTATTTTTTGGCAAACTCGGACCATTGTGCCCATAAAAAAATGGTGTGTCAAAGGACAATTTTCCCATTGAAACTGCTATTAGAAATTTTAATTAATTTTAACTACCTTCACTCCTTCGGCAATGTTTATCATCTTAAAAAATGATTAAAATTTTAATAAAACCTAAACATAAAAAACATATGAAAGTGAATTAATACATTTTCTTTGTTGTTGAGAATTGACAACAAAAATAAATACTATTTATTAGATTGTTTGTTGGAAAGGTTGGCTAATTGCCAATCAATTCAAAAATGTACATAATAATATAGTTGGTTCACATATTTAGTAAATATTTATAAATTTATGAATAAAAAATCGTTTTCATATTTGGTAAATGATAAATATTGCATTGTATTAGTTTTTAGAATGTTGTAAATATAAAATTATTCTTATAAATAAAAATAAACAGGTTTAAGTTTGCCTATTTTTCTTTATTTTTGCTACAAACTTGCATCCATAATTATTTTTGATTCAAACTGGCATCCATACTTATTAATAACTTTGGGCATTGCATCAAATCAGAGCCCAAGAAGATGGTAATTTATTATTCAAAAAGAATTTTAAATAATTAATATATTTAATATTTTTATGACTGTTTCTCTAAACTTCATGGCTTGGCAACTCTCTACTAATCAATTCTTCCACAAATGTAAAACTTTCAGATTAACATTATATTGTGTATACAAGTAAGGACCTATTTTTCTTTGTGGTAAGTCAAATAAAGTGTAATTCTTATCATAATTTTCATGCAAATTTTGGAAAGTGAGATATGTTTTACTTTTAAAAAATTAAAAACAAAACAACCAACTTTGTTTAAAATTTGACTGGAACGAAGTTTTTTAATTTCCAGTTCACTTTTTTCTGCAAGCATCGCTTCTTTCTTGACAATAATTTCTTCTTTCTTTCTCAACTCCTAAAACATAAATAAAATGTCAGTGTAGAATTTTATGCAAAGGAGATAATTCAATTATTATTAGTTTTTAAAAATTTAAAGCAAAAAAATAGGGTTATCAGACGTCCCTTATAACTGGACATATATTGGATAATTTTGTCCCCTGTCCCATACTGACCCCAAATGTCCCGTATTTAGTTCACTTTCAAATTTCATAATAAAAACATATTTTTACTATGCTCTTATGGTTCTTGGTTGTAACTTTTAAATTTTCTTTTCTCAGATTCTCTTGATGAAAATTAATAATGCAAATGCAATGAGAAAATTAGTTTTGCTAGAAGTTTACACAAAACTTATGTGTTTATTTATCTGTTGGCTGTATTAAATAACTATTTTCAAATGATTTCACTTTCAAAGAATTTCTTTTTCTTAGCTTGTATTAAATAATTTTCAAATGATTTTAATTTCATTTTCTTCATAACCCATTAAAATCATTGCTTTATGTTTTTAACTTATGTCTCTACTATCTCCTTTTATTGGTCTGGGTGTGTAGGCATGTATAAATTTATCATTTGTGACTCTAGGTTATCAATATCTGTCAGGTTCATTACAATCTTTAACAAAATATACTATTGATATAATTTTGATGCTAAAATAATTCCATTACTCTAACTAAAAGAAAATTTTTAAAAATCTCTAGCCACATATGTATTCTTTTTTTTTTAAAGAATATGTGTATCTATCTCAAGTGTGTTTGTGTTTATGTATCTGTCTGTCTGTGTGAATTTTATGTTTATGATCAGTACTGGTGACTGAAATCATATTTCTTCAACGTTACCCCAGTCACATTCCTCACCCCAACCCTTCAGTCCACAAGTTAAGGCTTTCTTTGATTTTCACCAACTTTAGGTTGGGCTAAATTTAATTTGCCCCTTTTTCAATTAATATATTGTGCTAAAAAAACTCATACTGTATGGAATAAATTATTTAAAAATGGACATTTCAAGAGAATAAGTTGAAACAAAAACATTCTTTAAAAACAGGGCATACAAGTAATTAGAGATTTTTTAAAAGATTATTTTAAAAATTAAAACAAGAAACACATTGCCTATTAAATGTCTCCAGCTCAGATAGGGTTCAAATCTACATAGCCTGACTAGCCACATTAATTTTATTTCATACTTTTTTTTTTATTATTGACTTTCTTTGTTTTTTTTTTTCGTTTTTTCTTTTCTTTTCTTTCAATATGAACAATATCAACAAAATATATTTCGCTCAATATTTTGAGGCACAGAGTTAAAACAATTCTGGATTCTGCTGAAGTTAAGAATGAAAATGATGCACTACAAAAGATTATTGTTGCTTTAAACTAGATATACTTGAATGTTGACTCACTCAGGTAAAACCTAACAAACTTGACTGCTGGAATTGACACTGAAATTATATATATATATATATATATATATATATATATATATAAAAACAAGTTTTAAGATAGGGATCATAATTTAATATTTAACAATTAAAATCAAATAAAATAAATATAACCTAAGGTACCTTTCAACAGAAGTCAATCAATCAATAGTCAGTATTTAAATGCTACTGAAGTGGTGTTTTTTATTTTTTTTTAAATAGGACAAAACAGAGCCCAGACAAAACACCACCTGAATATCTTAGAAGCTCTTGTGATAAACACACACAATCTGACTGAAGAAGCTCAAACACAAAACTGTAGGAACTGTTTGATCTGGAGACATTCACCCCATGCCCCCACTTTGATCTGGATGACAATAAAAAACCCCCCAATGCCCCCACACTTGACTTCTCTCTAATTTTATGATCCTATTTAAAAAAAAAACACCTCTTCAAACATTTATTTGCATATTTATATATATATAACAAAGAAATCTGATGAAGTGTCTGTCAAAAAAGGTGCCTTTAGGTCATTTTTTATGATTTTTAATCGTTAAATATTAAATTATGAATCCCTATCTTTTTCTAAAAATTTGTTTTATTAAATGTATTTAATACTGTTTACTAAAATTTAAATTTGTATCATATATATATAAATATATATATATATATATATATATATATATATATAGAGAGAGAGAGGAGGGAGATTTTAAGAGTGTCCCATATTTCTAATTTGGCAACCCTATTCATGACACACATAGAAAAATTGTTTTAGAAAAAAAATTCAACATTGGATTAACACAACACAAAATAAATTTACCTGCTGAAGTTCATCAAGACGTTGCCGTTGTTCTAAAATCTTTTCAATTTCTAAATCAAGCCAACGTTTCTTTTCATCGAAAGAATCTTGTGAGGCCCTGACAAAGAGAAACCAATCCAATTTAAAGCAATTTAAAAAACATGTCTCATCTGCCAACATAATATACATTTCAAATTTTAGTCTTGTTTTTCTATTTTGTGCTTTTAACCCTTTATGAATGCATTTTAAGTCATTTTGGTATCACTTTAAAAAAAGGAAAAATTAAATGATTATTTTTTTTCTTTATTGAATATTCATAAACAATAATTATTTTTGTTGATATTCTCTAGAAGAAAATATTTCTTTATAACATTATTTCTTTTATAAAAATTGTTTCTTTTTTTTCTTTGCATGCCAACACAGACACTATTAGATAAAAGTTTATTTTGCTGTTTTTTGCCTTAAAGTTCATGTTAACACTGTTAAGATAAAATGTGGTATATATGAAAGACAATTAAAAATGCAATAAAATGAACCTGAATAAACTTAAACCAAATTTGACCACACAAACAACACATTAAAAGTGAACATTTATACAAAAGCTGGGATCATTTCTATGCCAAATCAAAATGGTGTCCACTTACATATTAATCCGAGGTAAGGAAGCTCCACGAAGTTTCCGTTGGGCTTTGGCAATTTCCTCATTTTTTCTTTTCAGGATTTTTTGCTGTTGAAGATTCTGTTGTTCAAGTTGTTTCACTCGATGCATTTCTCGCTGCATTCCTCGCTAAAACAGTTTTTTAAAAAAAGTTAATATAATTTGGCTATTAATTCAAATCTGTATTGACTTCACAAATGTTCGCTGAAACTCAGTTTGTGCAAAATTGATATAAAAGTACAACTGAGAAAGTATAATAATAGAATTAATATTGTCTGACGACCATTCACTGGGTAGAAGTTGCAATTGGAGAGGAATTTGTGATCATATGAATTTCACACACACATAAACAAAGTAGAAGGAATGATTCAAATTCAGTCTTTGTGGAAATTATATAACAGAAGAAATATTTTAAGAAGATGTGATTCTTTTATAAAAAACACAGCATTATAATATCCAGACAACTTATTTAAAAATATGCTTTCTTTTTATAATTGATGTTTTTCAACATTGTAAAAATATTAATTGAGAGACTATCATAAATTCATTTTTATAGTTAGTCAGTCAGTAGATCTATGAGAGGATGATGAAATGTTCTTGGAGCAACTAAGATGCTCTTCAAAAAAAAAAAAAAAAAAAAAAAAAGAAAAAAATAACTTATTCTTGTTGTGGTACTGCTTCTAGTTTAACTAAAAGTAAACTAAATTTACATATGTAAAATAACAGGTCGTCATTACTTATAAAAGTAGAAGGAAATAGAAGAAATTTCAATAAGGTGATATTTTCATGTGCTTTTTGAACAGGAGTAGAAGTTTATCCCTTGTTTCCTGCTTAGGATTGAGTTTCAGGTTCCTTCTAAAGTCTTGATTCTTTTTCACTCCCAGTAACCCCTTGTGTCTTAGTGGTATTATTGCCTTGCTTGGGGTGAATTGATTAAAAAAAAAAGTTTTTATATAATAATTGATTGATTAAAAAAGGACAGACAATACACGAGTATGCATGTAAAATAAAGAAGACATTAAAAGTTATCAATTATGAATTGTGTGTGACACGCATGCATGTGTGGGTATGTGTGAAAGATCAGTCAATAAGATATCCCCATGTCCAGGACAAGGTCCCATACTGGTGTTGTCACAACTGCATGCTAAAAGGAAGAAAGAGAAAGAAGAAAGGAGTGTCCCATTTTTATAGCTGTTTAACAGTGCCACTTAACAATATTTGACGAAGCTAAGTGGGGATAACTCACATTTTTAATCTCTTATTGTACCTAATTTATGAATTAAACTTTATCATAAGTATGTATGTACAGTCAACAACAAAATTATTTGTACACCCATCAATTTTAAATTTTTTTATCCATTTCTCAGAATCTAATGCCTGTATGATGCCTGTTTTTTTATATGTTAATAAGCCCATAAAAAGGAATATAAAACTCAATTTTCAGAACAATAGGTTAATTACAACAAATTTGACAGGTGAATTATGCAAAATAGGAAAAGACAAAATTATTTGTACAGTAAAATAGAAAAAAAAATTAACAATTTTCACAATATTAATAGCCAATAGCATGGCTTCTCATTTTTATAACTTGCTGCAATCATTTTCTAAAGTTGTTGACAAGATTTGAACAAGTTTTTTCTGGGATTTTCTTCCATTCTTCAATGGTTTTTTGGTGACTGACGATTTATTCAAACTATCAATTATTGCCATAGATTTTCAATAGGATTCAAGTCAGGACTCATTGAAGGCCATGGTAATCTTCTTTTTCTGAAGCCACACAGTCACTGATTTAGATATATGTTTAGGATCATTATCTTGCTGGAAAGTAAACCACCGACCTAAATGAAGATTTTGCGCTGATAGTTGTAGATTTTCATCCAGAATTTTGATATAGTCTGTAGATTTCATTATTTTTCTTATTGCAATCAATTGTCCATAAATGCCAATGTCAGTGTGTCACACTGTCACACTTTACTCCTAGAGGTTGTAGCTAAACATATCATACTATTTTGAAATCAGGCTGATTCTGTGAGCAAATTAAATACATTCCCATCTGGATCTGGACCTGCAATCCTGAAATTTTGGATTCCCAAGTTTTCATTACTGCAAGTGTTTTTTGGATTCTGCCATCTTGGCTTCTATTGATAAAAACAATTAAAGGGACACAATTCTCTAATTTTCAATAGCTCATGTTCAAATGAAAAAATTACTGTTCTCAAATTACAGTGTTTCAAAATAAAATTGTCCATGTTTTCAACTTTACTCCTAGAGTCCATAGCCCAATATATCATACCATTTTGGAATCAGGCTGACTCCATGAGCAAATTAAAAACATTCCCATCCAGATGTGGATCTGCAATACTAAAATTTTAAATTTCCAAGTTTTCATTACTGCGATTGTTTTTGGTGATTTTTTTTTTTTTTTACATGATTTTTTGCAACACATTTTTTTTGTAGTTCTTCTGTAGTTTATTGTTGCCTATTGCATCTACTACTCCCTACCTATTGGGATGAAAACAAAGTGTTACTAGAATTAGAAAGAATTAGAAAGCAAAAACAAAAGAAAAGTAATCAGAAAGACAATAGATAGTGAGTGACATTGCATTTCAATTTTTGAAGATCAAAGTTAACTGGAAAACATGAAGCTGGAAGTGAGTTCTACAAGCGAGAAGTGCGAAAAAAGAAACTGTTAGCATAGAATTTACGGTTACATCTGAGCCAATTCAACTGTTAATTGATGAGATCTTGGTTGCCACTCTAGTACTGCATTTAAATTCATCAAGTCTAGCTATCATAGTGAAAAGCTCATCCAAACAATTACCATGAAAATATTTCTAGAAAAGGCTGAGACATCAAGTCAGGACCAATAATATTGCTGATTCTATAGATTTCATCAAGAATCTCTAAATATATAGCAGGAGCACTGGACCATATGTGGCAGTAATATTCTAAACCGGGGTGAATGGTAGACATAGATATGTAGGATAGATTCTGGAGAGAAAAATTGTCTAGCATGACACATTGAACCAACTTTCTTAGCAGCTGACTTAGCAATGGATTTAATATAGTCTTTCCACTTCATATCAGCAGAGAATGTTAGCCTGAGAAGGTGCAATGGGTCACTCTGCTGGAGGTCAACATCAGCTATACTGATGAAAGGCAGAAATGAGTCTCTCAAGAGAGCAATTATATAACATCTATCAATACAATAAAAAAAATGCAATCCTTTAGTTAAACTAAATGTTTTTAATGATATTTAACAACAAAAGCCATGCAAAATTCTTAGGTTACCCAATCCTTAAAAAATAAATGCTTGGGTCATCATCACAAGTCCTTTCAGGTCATAAAGACACTACATGTACTGCAGCCATGACAGCAGTGATGTGTCTTGGGCAAATGAGCCTGATGAACCCCATTTCTGGTTTCAGATTTGGAGTTTTCTTTCTCCTTGACTGGTTGCCAAGAGAGCTCAGTATGTCCTGCTATTTAGCATATTGTTGGAGATGGATTCATGCCTTTTCCAGCAGCATTAGCACAAAGTGATTAAAACAGAATCAAGTGAGAAGTGAACTCAGCTATCTGAATTCACTTTCCACACAAAGGAAGTGCCAGACCCATAACTTAAAACAACAACTGACAAAGTTACTTAACTTGATAAAAAGTGCCAGGCTAATATTTGGAAAAACTTTTCTTTTTTTGCTTACATTCAAAATTTCAAAACCTATTGTCACCTGATTATAAAAGTAATCAAATATTTACAATACCTCCAGTTTTAGTTTTTGGTCATATTCTTCTTTGAGCCGTTTTTGTAAATTGTCATGTTGTTGTTTCATCTTCAAAACAGACAATTTTAAATCTTCAATCCTAAGGAAAATAAAACAATTTCAAATCTTCAATTCCAGGTAAAGTGAAATACAATTTCAAATATTTACACTATTTACTGCTGTCCTCATCTTTATTGCCATATTTGTCATGTTTCAGACATTGTATGCTCCAACCTTCTTCAGGTGATATATGTTGGAAATTTGAACTGAACCCTTTATTCAGTCCACAGGGGTAGATTGTTCTAGTTCCACATGCCATGCCTTTTCTGGATATCTCAGTTTCAGTTACTTCCCTTTAGTAACTCAACTCTCCAAGTTTTTTTTTGTTTCCTCTGCTGTGAGTGGATACTGAATTTGCAAATCTTTGGGTCAAGTCACTTTTCCAATGTATATCCCCTGAAGAATGCCGGAGCATACAATGGCTGAAATGTTGTGAATATGGCAATAAGGATAGGACAACAGTCCAAACAACTGGTCCAGTGGATAAAAGCATTGGTTGAGTAATCAAAAAACTGACTTGACCCAAATAGTTTATAGTTAGAATACATCATTTCAGAAATATAGACAGACAATTTCAAATCTTCAATTCTACGGAAAATAAAACACAAGTGCTTTATCTTTATGACTCTTTAAAGCAAACAAAACTTATCTTTATAAAAATAAAATCTATTCATAAATTTAATGAAATTGTTCAACATGGATTTGCCAATTTTAAACATGACATTTTGAATATTTTAGTGAATACAGTAGATATTTATTGAGCTTAATTTTTTTGCAGGGAGACATACTACCACAAGTACAGGTTACCCAGTGAGGATTAAACTACCTACTCAGTAATAATAATCTTTCAATACTAGCTTGTTAACCATTACTCCACAGTAGGGCACTCAGGAATTGATATATATTTCTTCTCCTTTCAAAATAGCCAAACAATATATATATATATATAAAACTGACTCACTTTTTTTCATTTTGTGTCATCAGATTAGCAACTTTTTCAGTTTCTTTTTGCTGCTTATGTAAAGCAGAGATTTTAAGTTCAGCCTCTTGGATTACTTTTAAATACATTCTGAAAAAACAAAACATAGAAAAAGGCACTATACAGCATTGAAGAGATGCATAAAACTATTATTATCATATATATATATATATATATATATATATATATATATATATATATATATATATATATACACACACACACACAGAGGGTGAGATGGATAAATTGTCTAAATTACACAAAAATGAAAATAACATGGACCTCTCATTTTAATAGATATATTTAACAAAATTACACAAAAATATCTTGAGATACTAAAGAATAAATTTATTCAATAAAAATCACCATTGGCTTCAACCATGGCCTCAAGATGACTTCAGAACCTCCTGGACAGTCTCATTGTTTAAGTTGGTGAATGCTGCCATAATCAGTACAGCATGCCGTTTCCAAATTTCTGATGGAGTGAATAGCGCCATGGTGGTTTTATTCTCAAAGACAGTACCCAACTGACGCTACTATACTGTGCAGTCAACAAAATGAAAAACAAACAACTCACATGTGTGAAATTAAAAATATAAAATGGCAATAATTTATCCATCACACCCTGTATATATAAGGGGCTGCTATTGGCAATTATATGAGTATATAATGTATATATACATTTTGGCATATAGTTCTTATATAAGGGTATATCATTAGTAAATTGTAAGGTGTCTGATGGCATATTTACAACTGGAGACAATGATTGAGTTTCAAATCCAGGTAAAAACCAAGATCTCAAATGCTGATTTAAAAAAAACAAATAGGCCCTCCCCACATGTAAGATGTGTGCAACACAATCTTTATTTTTCCAATCTAGCCATGTGCTGTAACCTTAGTAAATATGAAGAAAGTGCCAAATTTGTATAAACTTCTGGAAAAATAATTCTAAATTATGATTTTTTCCTTCTACCAAAATTGTTTTGTCCCAAAAAAAGCAAGCAAAACTTTTTATTTTATTCATTTAATGAAATTGTTCCATGGATTCAATTTTAAAATCATTTTGAATATTTTAGAGAATACAACTTTTTAATAAGCAATGAAAAATTTAATGAGTTGGTTTATTAAACTAATTGAATTCTTAATACTTTTGTTAACCATTAAAAGTATCACCAACAAATTAAATATTTCTCCTTTCAAAATAGCCAAACAGATATAAATTTATCAGAAAAAACTGAGGTCACTTTTTTTCGGCACAAGATAACATAGTCAATTTGTCATAAAAATTTTAAGTTCAGCCAAAATACATGTGAAAAAAAACTCATCAAAAAGTGTTAAAGTGAAAACATTGCATCATATTATCAATATATATATATATAACTATTGGTTTCAATGCACACACACACACACACACACACAGAGGGTGAGATGGACACATACCCCATTCCCATTTGAATAGATATATGCACACACAAAAATGCATGCTGGAATTTTATTCAATAAAATCACCATTGGCTTCAGGCCAATTTTAGAACCTCACAGTCTGACTTTAAGTTCTAGTCTGTCTTGTCTTTTCTGATGGAGTCAAATGCTATGGTTTACTTGTCCAATCTTGCTCTTACTGTGTGTCAAAAAATCAATTCTTAAATTTGTGAATTTTTTATCCATATTTCTGTTGATTTGCCCTTGCATATATTATTTGCTTGCTTTATATTATTTTTTGCCCTGTTTTTTTTCTTGTTAATGTTTAGTTTCAAATCCAAAAAAAACTTTGTCAATTCTGTTTATTGGACAGTTCTGTCATTTAATTTGCATCTAACCATGGCTAAACTCAATCCAAATTTGTAAACAAAAATAAAATTTCAATGAATAAGAATTTAAAAAACATATTAGACAAAACTGATTAAAAATTTAAACTAGTCATTAATTTACTCGGAAATTTTCATTAACAAAGTAAGTTTGTCTAACTTACAAAGAAAGAGTAATGTATTCATGAATAGTTATTTAACTTGCAAATGCCAAAAATAATCCATGTCAACTCACTTTCTTTGTTCACTTTCTTCATTGTGGCCTCGGCTTTCTAATTCCTGTAAGTTTTGTCGTGTTTCATTCAGTTCTTTTTGTACTCGGGTGATCTCCTGAAATAAAAATAAAAAAAACAGCTGCAGTAACAGAAATCTTGTTTTTTTAAACAGATTAAAAATTTCATACTTAAGACTTTTTTATAGTTTGAAAAAGCCTGCAGAATTAATAGGATGATGATGACCTGCCATGTAAACTTCCCAAAGAGGCATGAGACTGTCAGTGAATTAAGTAATAAATGATGTAAGCTCTTTTTCTGGTATATGAAGCCCAGAAAAAACTAAAGGAAAATTGTTTATTAATATTTAGCACTCTGCATCATTTATAAATATTACTTCCCCTTTTACTGTATATGGAATCCACTCAAAATATAGTGTTTTTATATATTAGGTCTATATATTTGAAATTGCAGTAGCCTGGCTCTCCATTTCAGTCAAGATTGTTTTAGGTGTTGTCATAGAAGGATATGACTACACAACCAAGAACTTCAAATTCAATTACCATTGGGAGGACTAGCATTTTGCTTGGCAAAAGTATTCACATACAGAGTGCTAAAGGTTAAATCTGAATAGACAAGGAGTAACTTGCTGGTAAAAAAAATAATATAAAAATTTTAATTAGTTACAATAAATAAAATTGTCCAGTAACCTCCATAACAATTAAGTTACATATTTGATTTCCTTTTTTACTGTCTATATTTACAATACACTTGCATCCCTGTCCCTTTCCATTCTTTTCTTCACCTCCTTTTCCACTTCCCTTCTTATTACACCCAATGTCCTGTCTTTCAATCATCATACGGCTGTTATTTTTTTTTGAAAGATAATTATGTAGCATACTATGCATTTTTTTTTTTTTAAATAAAGCATTAAAGTGGTCATTTTAAAAGTATCACCGACAAGACTGCCAGGTTTGAAATGGTGGTGTTACTTTTATTTTTATTTTTGTTTTTCTCAATTGACCTTTTTAAAACTGTTCCCTGGTCTGATTCAACTATTAACCATTAACTTTTTATATTTATTTATATATTTATATATATATATATATATATATATATATATATATATATATATATGATTGAATAAATAAGAAACATCATGTCTGCTTATTTAAATGCATCGTAACAGTGAAAATCACTTTTATTTCCCAAGTACTTTCCATATCTTTCTGAGATAATCATCAAGGGTACAACTAGTAAGGCAAAAACTATGTGTAGCTATCCATTACAGAATTTTTTTTCTTCTTTTGTGTTTAAATTAGAACATGAAAAGTTATCCATTAGGGAATTTTTTTTTTTTTATGTTGGAATGTCATGGTAGAGTGCATTAAAGTGTAATAACTTTTCTTTTATAGGCATTTTAGAACATTATTACAGTATTTATAGCTGATTCTATTCAGTGTTGACTTCAATTTTTTATTGTAGATTGCTCTGGTGTAGGATAGTTGTGTTTTCAATCAGTATTTTTCTATACTGCAAATGTGGACAGGAATGTTAGTGTAAATATCTTGCAATGGAGGAATGGTCAGACATATGTAGAGTTAGACGTCTTGATAATGTAGTAGTCATATATCCAACATTTGTTTTTTTGTTGGAGATACATTCTCCTAAAGGACATTTGAATTGATATATAATGTTGGTTTTATGTAATACATCAGTTAGTAGGGAGGAATTATTGTGAATAATTAAATTTATTGTATTGTATTTTGTATAATATATAATTAATTTTAATTTTTTATTGGAACCCATGGGAGATATAATGGGATGAATGAGGCTTTTTATGATTTTCTCATCCTGTTTGTAGTTAGCATGCATCTGGTTACAAAATAAGAGTTTGATATATTTAAGGTCCTTTGAAGAAGTACTATGTTCTATTTGATGTGTGCTGAGGTCTTTGATAATTCATCTTATTTGTTCATCTACAATGTGGTTAGGGAAGTCATTAATGAGAGCCTGCTTAATATTTTTAGTTCAGTGTAGAAAATCTTTTTTGTGGAGGAATTAGTTTGTGCTCGGTTAATTAAATTCTGCATAAGTGCTATTTTGTAGTAATTAGGACATTGATTCTTATAGATTAGAGTGCAAGAGATTTTGCTAGTTGTTCTTTTATATGGTGGAGGTAGTAAATGTGTTATTATTTGTGTCTATTAAAATGGCAAGGAAAGGGATTTTGTTATCTTTAAGTTTGTATGTAAACTGGAAGACAGATTTTTGAAAGTATTTTTGGACATCAAGTAATTTGCTGCCTAAATACACACAAACACACACACATATATATATATATATATCACCATTCTTGGCAAATATCTATTGTCACAATGTGTGATATTTAATTACAGAGATATTGAAAACAAGAAGAAAAATAATCTAAATGAAAGTGGCTATAACTTTAAACAAAACATTTGGATATGACATCACAAACAATCTGTTCTGTATTTCTGAATTGCTGTATAACTCACCAGGAAAACTTGTTGATAAATTCAGCAAAAACTTTCACTTACCTTTTCCTGTTCCTTAATTTTATTTTTGTATTGTTCATTAAGGAGTGCTGCATCTTTTTCTTTCTTGAGTAACTCTCGTACAAATTGTTCTTTTAGGCTTGGAAAGAAAAATTGAAACTTAAAAATCACAATCAATATATTATAATACTTATTATAAATCAAAAGAAATCTTTGCTTTAAAAGAGTGGTTCTCAACCTTTTTTAACCCATGGAGCACTTTTACTCTTAATTTTTTTTAATGGACCCCCTATGAGCCTTCGATGAAAAAAAAAAAAAAGCTTATTTTATTTTTTTACTAATAGGTAAGTTTAGGAGTTGTATTATAGAAATATAGTATATGCTTTATTTTGAAATAAAACTTATTTAATAAAAATAAACTTGTATATAACAACTGTCGGGTTAACCCCTCCTAATTTTTGAAACTACTAGGGGGCGCTCTCTGGACTATAAATATTCAAGTATATTTTTTTCTTGCTCTCTTCTTACCACCAACATGTAACCTCTCACAGAGAATGAGTTTCCCAAAGGGAAATGCATGAACAACACACACACACAGACACACATGTACATATGCACATTCACTAACTATACTTACTTTGAACCAAAAAGGTTTTCACATTCATTTGTTTTCACATTCATTATTGTTTTCATCACTTGTACACCTTCATTGTTAATACATTATTATTTGTTTGTACATATATATTAGTTCTTGTTATTTCTTTCTATTTCTTTATGTGGACTCACATCCTGAGTCCACCATTTTGTTGTGGGTATTTCAGGAGACAGCATGTTATTTACAATTACTAATGCCACAAGCTGGGAAGAACACACACCGGGCCATACCGCAACTAAATTCTATGGAACATTTATATATACTAGTAAAATAACTCCTAATAAAGCATTTTAAGATATGTAAGTAATTGATAGATAAAAAAAATGTACAGATTTATTCAGTAAGATCAAGTTTTTTTATATTCAGCTCAATTGATGTCAATGTTGAGTTTATTACTATATTAATTAATTTATATTAATTTATTAATATTTTTATTTATTATTAATCTATCTATGGCTGGCCACTCATATTCAAGGATACCTGTTTACTAGGGCAGCTAGCTAATCCCTATTGCAGATGCTTGCTCAGGTGTATTTTGTGTTTGTTTAACACCCACAGAACCCACCTGTTGTTTATACAGCAACTATGCTGAGCAGACATTAGTTACAGTTTCTGGGAGAGTGTGGGTTGTCTGGTATGATCAACAATCTGAACAAGGCCAGTACACTCAAACCCTTGGTCACAATGACTTGTGTCTTCATGCTAGCACAGCCATCATTGTCCCCCAAGGGTTCAGTCTACCCAATTTCACTCACAAGACTTGGGTCAAACCATGGTATGGTTTTCACACACTTTCTAGAAAGATTGAATGGAAAAAGGCATTTACTTTCTAACAAAGAATTTATGTAGAAATATAAGGAATAAGATTAGAGATAACAAAACCTCAAAACCAGAAACTGATATTAAAGGATGGAGGTGGGGTAAAAGTCCTATGAAAAATATTTCAAACAAATGTTTGAGATAACAAGTATTGGCACACAATGATGTGGAAGACAACAGCCGAGTTTAAAAGTTATGATTAAATTTGTTCACAAAACAGAAATGATTTACCCAAATTTAGTACTTTGTGTGACTAAGGATAACCAATAACATGTAAATAATAGCATTAAACAACAAAAAAAAAACATGCTCTTTTACAAATAAAATTATATTATTGCATACAATATTTAAATTCATCACCTTGTACAAATTTAACAAACTGTTGTTAACCAAATACATAAGAACGTCCTCTGAAATGAAAACTACATTTAGTAAAGAAAAAGAGTAATACTTTTCTGAATTTTTTTCTGTGAGGAATTTGCTACAATTTTGTATGAAGAAAATTTGTTGTTTCTTTTTCTTGTAGAAACAGCAAAGGTTTAGATCAATCACACCAGCTGAAGACTTTTTTGTGGTGGAGGCGACCAGGTTGTTCATTTCAATTATTCATTTTCAGAGCCATTGATTTAGAAAAAAACCCTTTATTGATTTGGACATAGTAAACAAACACTGCTGTTTTACCCCCAATCAGAATGTACCATAAATATTTTGAAATTTAAAACTTAAGTGGCCATCAAAGCATCTGGTCATCTCTGAAATCTTGATGTATGCTCATATAACTTAAATTTATTATAACATGAACAATCTTGGATCATTGTTAATCTACTATGAATTCTTATTTTAGTTGGAAAAAATAATAAAACTTACCGAATGTTAACTGCTAAGTCATTAAGTCTTTGGTTAGATTCTTTCAGTTTCAGTTCATTTGCCTTGACCTTTTGTTGATGCAAGTCAGAGACATGAACATAAGTCAAAGAAGAATTTGGTGAATGTCTATTCTTGCATCCATCCATGCTGTCTCTGTTCAAATGTCGAACAGAAACTTCACAACATGAACCATCTGGAAACACAACCAAGCATTTACATCAGTCAATAACATCAGGAAAAAAAAAAAAACTCCATACAAAAATTTCAAAATAATTAATATAAAACTGGTTTCAATACATTTCTTTTTTTTCCTTTTACCAAAGCCTTATTAATTAAATTCTTAAGCATTAATACACCGATTACCACACAGCACACTGATGTGTCATATGTCATGCATGATCTACTCTCTTGTCATATTAGACTTCTGGTGAGCCACTGGTGAGTCATAATTACCTGGCATACTTACCTCATCTCTCAGTTGCATCTCTGTCTTTGGCTGAGTGCAACTCAATTGTGACTCTGTCCATGGACAGAGATGCAACTGAGGAAAATAAATACTGCGAGGTACCCATTCTCAGGGAATATCTGCCCAAGGCTGCAACCTACCATTGCATTAGAGAGAGAGGATCAGTAGTTGCTACCGAAACCAGCACAACTGACAGTTGTGGGGGCTGGGCAATTTTTGTCCTTGGCCCAGGTGTACGCACTCAGGTTCCCCACAATAAACCTAACCTTGCGTTACATCACGCCTCAGTAAGGAGATGAGATGAGTCATACTTGTAGTAGATATCTAAGCTCAAATGATATCTATATAAAAGGATCACCTATTTTTGTGGTAAAAAATTTATCAGTGAACATAAATTTCCCCAACGTTTCACAGGTAGTGTAAAAATTATCAGCAAGGAAAGTGGAATCAGTAAGCTAAGTTCAAGTTCTGGCTTCATCAGTTATGTTTAATTTCACACTAATGCCTTAGGGAAAGGTATGAATCCATGATTTCTCCTACCAACTACAGGTTAAATAGCAGGGTAGACTGGGCTTGTATCTCGTCTAAGAGCAAAGCAATTCTGAATTCAAAACTGTTATATTCCATGCTAATAGGAATATATACTTGAAAAACAAGGTGGATAAAATAAGTAGAGGTTTATTGTATAAAACCAGTACAATAAGAATAAAGGTAACAGTTATGCACAAGGTCGTTGCAAGTCAATCCAGTAGTGAGTGCTACTATTGGGAGGTCAGTAGTTTTCGCGTAAGTCTGAGTCATACTCAACAGGTCCCAGCTAGACTCCGTAGTCTGTTGACTTACAGATACTTATGGGTACCTATAGTGTAGTCACTCAGAGAGTGACAGGTTATTCCATTACATCAAAAATTATTGGAGAAGGTAATGGGAAGCCACTACTATCTTTACCAAGAAGTCATAGCAATTAACAGATAATATGCTGTAATTTAGTTCCTGTAGTTAATAGAACTGATACTAAACAGAAAGTCCATAAATTGTTTTTTGTGTTTACAAAAAAACATAAATGAATCTACTCTCCAGGATAGAATGGTATAGAAATACAGAAAGGACTTCAGAATTTTTTAGACAGGATTATAAAGAAATTCTCCTTATAATTCAATAAGACATATAAGTATTTGTTGCAGTAAATGCTGAATTTTCAAGCTGTGATTGAAATCAAGTTTTCTTTGAAAAACTCTTAAATTTCATTGGATACAACATTTTATATAAATTAAATCCTATATATATTTTTCAACCAAAATAATTCCATCGGAAGATTTGTTTGATAAACAATAATTACAAGGACAAATACTGCCAAAATACATGCGGATGTAATTGTAGACGTACCATGTGTTATTTTTGGACCATTTAAAAAATAGAAATAATAACTCTTCACCACTCCTGCAAATTTAAGAAAAAGATTTTTGCAGACTAGTGGGAAATTATTTTCTAATGAATGAAAATCTTGTATTCAAAAAGTTCACACCTTTATGTAAAATTAGATTTTGATCTCCCTTACAAATATAAAAATAGAGGCATACCACTTCTAGAGGCTCAAAACAATTTGGGTGGCCAGTTTGATCTACATGTGCATACACACACATGTACCAACATACAGGCACACAATAGAAGATACGACTGCCAATAGCCACAGAATAAGGATTTGTCCATGCACACAATAGAGGGGATTAACTAGCAACTGCCTATTAAGCCTTTGTCTACGAACTCACAAACATATTAGATTGAATGTCATAAAGTAAGTCTTTTCACACATTTCACACGAATTTTGAAAAGAATATATAAATGTTATTCCAACTGATATTCTGCTTCTACTTTTCCCCCCAGAAAATAACTTTTTTCATGTTTCATTTACAAGATGTGTTGTAGTTGTTATTGTTAACTGTTTGGAATCCCAACACTCAGATAGCAACTAAAACCTGGGTAGACAGATCCCAATAATTTGACTGATGAAGACTGGAGAGATGACTGGCCAAAATGTATTAGCCTTAATAATAAACAACTGTCATGTACATTAAAAATTTGATTATCATCAACTCATGAAAACAGAAGAAAAAAAAAATCATAAAAGCTAACAGACTTTACCTTGAGTGTTGTTATTATGAAGAGGCCCTTTCTTGAATGTTGCAGTACGTCTTAACATACCAACATGGCTACATTAAAATAGAAACAGATAGGATTTAAACACCTGTTTATATTGATTATTTATATCAATTACAATACACAAACAGTTTTCAAATTCTGGTACAGTGATTTCAAAACTCTATAGTCAGTTTTGCTTTCACTTTTCTGCTAAAGAGGGTGTTGCGGAGACAGAAATGGGTAACCTGGAAGACAGAACCTTGTTGCAGTTGTTGTTACTGTTATGAAAGTTAATTCCTTCTTCACATCATAAACATAAATTCAAGTAAAAGGAATACATTAAGGGGAAATAAATGTATAATTTATTTACATACATACAAAACTAGTAACTTTTTCTGTTGCTAAGACAACAGGGAGAGAGAATGGTGAAATTAGAAGTGAAATAGACATTGCTGATGGCTGTCATTGTCAATAGTGGTTCTCTCTCAGCATGTCTGGTTTGTGACACGTCTCCCAGATTGCAAGTGTCAATGTCCAAGTTGGTCTGTGCTAAGTTTATTTGAATTGAATTTATAGTTGTCGTTCAGCTCTGAATTAAAGTTTTGCTTTTTGGAGTGAGAATGGCTCTGACTGGGCAATAAATTGTTTGTTTTATTTTGGTTCAAGTGAATGTATGCATGGAGCCTATGTGCTGAAAACGTATTTACACAGTCTACTTTGTGTCATCAAGCAGACATCTGGTTTGTGTAGAAAAATGTAAGAGGCACAACAAGTGTTTTCTTAGCTTGTGGCCAAGTAAACTTTATGAAATCAAATGTAATTTTATGACATTATACTGTGCCAGATTTTATTATTATGAGATGGTATTAAGCAAACCATTTTCTTGCTTACTCTTATTATCAGAGCAAATAAGCAAATTATAATAGATAAAAAGTAATTACCCTTTATTTCTGTTTCCAAATGCATCTGCTGAATCTCTGTTATCATTTGAAACCACATCCTCTGTGATGCTGTTATCATCAAAACTTTGTTGCAGTACTTCATCATTGTCTTCTAAGTTGACAATCATAAGTTGACTTCTTGCCCGAAAGTTCTGCATAACATGTTCTAAAGAGAATAACGCTGGACTTGTGTGGATTTGGCGTGATGGAGGTTGTGGACGAGATAAGTTCTGCAATTTATAGGAACAAGAATATAAACAATATCTTCCTGGATAAATGCACTTGGACTGAAACTGACAACAAAATAAAGAGATTTCAATATACTTAGATTTTATGTAATAATGTTTTTTTTTTAAATTTGGAGCAGGAATTTGTAGCATTTTATAAGTGAATTTTAAAGATAATTTTTTAAATATTCCAAAGAAGAATCTGAAATGTTATTGGTCCTGACCTGGCATTTCAGCTTCAGTCCCTTGCCCACCATCATAACATAGCTTCGCTGTGTCTTTTCTATAAATACTTTCATGGTAATTGTTCTGATGAACCTTCCTCTTTGTTACATATGGGAACTAGTTAGGACTTCATAGATACTTTGAGATAATATGGTGACTGTAGTAAGAATGATAAGTAATAATGTGTTGTTTTGCTGTACATTCTAAGCCACATATGGCTGTAAGCACTGCCTGGGTCCACACAGTTGCATTCTGTATAATTGGCTTTGAGCCATGGTAAAACATGCCTTAAGGGTCCTGAGGTGCTATGTTTTGCCATGGCTCAAGAAAAGGTGGGTTCTGATGTCTACTACAATTTGATATGTTATCAGCACCCACCTTGTCTTCAACCTTGGAGCGTAAAAGTGTCTTTTCCATCCCTATTGAAGGCCACAACAAAGGCCCAAGCTGGATATTCATCATTACAGATTTTCTCAGAGAATATTTTAACAATGGATCCATAATTCTTGAGGTATTTGAGTATTTGCCAGCATCTTTTCAGGCTCCCTGGCATCCTGATGCATGATTGAAGGCTTAGATCATTATACATAACCATTATGAATATCTTGGTGTTTGCATAGCCATTGTGAAGATCTAGGGGTCTGCATAGCCATTGTCATCTAGGGTCTGCATTTTGTGAAGATCTTCTTAGCTTGATCTAGGGGTCTGCAATCTATTTTATTTTAGCTTGGCAATTATTTTATACATGGATGATGGGTTTAATTTTTTGCAATTTTGGCCTGAAGGGTATTTATAAATTATTTATATTATTTACACCTCTACTATTGTCCTCATCTTTGTTTTATTACACAATTTTTTGGCTGTTGTGCACTTCAGCCTTCTTCATTTTGCTACTCAATCCCTGCATGTATTTTGTGGAATTAAGTTAAAAAATAGTTTACCTGTTTTGGAGGAACAGTTTGTGGTCGAGTCAGTGGTTTCCGTACAGCAGATAAAACATCTAAGTCTGAGGTGATCTAAAAATAGATTGAAAACCTGTTATGTGAAAATAACTGATAAAAAACACATTTACATGAAACATATTCAGTCCCTTAAATGCTAAACAGATAATTTTTGGTGATATTGTTAAAATAGTGGTTTTCAAAGTTTGCATAAAAATAACAAACAAAGAAATCCACAGTGAATCACTGAAACCTCTTGACGAGTGGACCAAACAATAAAAAAAAAAGTTTCTTTATGAAACTCTGGACTTGAACTGCTGAATATAGCATCTATCAGCTAAGTGACAAATTTTATTTGTATTAAAATTGTCCTCTTCGCCATATTTGTCACAACGTTTTGGCCGTTGTACGCTTCGGCCTTCTTCAGGTGGTTGGAGTTTCGAACTGAACCCTTTATTTCGATCACTGGTGTAGACTGTTCTAGTTTCACGTGCCATGTTTGATGGATGTCAGTTATCAGTTATCTCCTGCTAATTTTCCCTCTGAAAGTATTGAACTCACCTTCTTTAGATCTGTCACTGGATCTAACCAACGCCTTTATCCATTGTGCCATGTGTCCTTGAGGACATCTGGGTATGAACTTCTGAGTATTATAAACCTAATGTTTTCAGCATCATTTTTTACCAGTGCTCATATTGCAATTTTGCTGTTATCATTGCATGTCTTTACCAGCGTTCATATTGCAACTTTGTTATCATTGCTTTTCTCTGGCACTCCTTATTACTGGTTCCCCATATTGTATTTATTTCTATGCTTGGTCGGCTCAGGAGATTTTTTGTGGCCTAGCATATGTGCTGATTCCTTAAGTTTACGAATTTTCCAATGGTGTTCCCTGTCTATGATCTCAACATGATCCCACAGGGGGTGGTGATCTCCCTTCTCTCTCCATATGTGGTCAGCCACGCCTGATTTTTCCACTTCCCCTCGCATTACAGCTTTCTGGTGTTCTTGAAGTCTTACCTTGAGGGGGCGGCCTGTCTCTCCTTTATATTCCTTTCCGTAGCTGTATGGGATAGTGTACACACAGTCTTTAGTCATGTTCCCCTCTGTGGGGGGTCTCACTCGTGAGAGATATCTGCGAAGTGTTGTCACGCTTTTGAAGGTTGTCCTGATGTTATATGGACCGCAGATCCTTTGGATTTTCTCTGATAACCCCTTCACATAAGGCAGGCAGACTGTTTTCTGAGTGTTGTTATCCTCCTCCTCCTCTTTTTATTATTTTTATTAGTTCAAATATTACTTTTAGTGGATATCTGTATTTGAGCAGAACATCTCATTTTTTTTTAAACAGTGTTTATTTTGCCTACCAACGTGCATTCAAGGAAATTTAATAAATATGCCATCTGTCAGTATTCAATAAGACCCACCATCTGAACCAGCATGCTTTAAACTGTTCAGATATGGAGACATTTAAAATATTAAAAAATCCAGTCTGACTGTTTATAAAGGATGTCAATTTGAGTGAATTGAAATTGATGAGTGTTTATTGAATATATAAAGTAAATGGTGCCTAAATTTACTTTATATGTTCAATAAACACCCTGATGAATGTTTCAATAAAAAACTTTTGGTTTGGCTAATTAGATAAATCACTTGTGCTTTTCTTGATTTATTGAATATTATACAGGGTGTGATAGGTAAATTGTCACCATTTTATATTTTTAATTTCAGACATATGCATTGTTTGTTTTTGATTTTGTCAACTGCATAGTATAGTAGGGACAGTTGGGCACTATGAGAAAAAGAGCATAGGACACAATTCATTCCATCAGAAATTTGAAAATGGCATGCTGTACTGCTTGGCATCCATGCTAGAAAGTCAAATACAAACATTTCAGAGTGTTTAGTTGTTAATCTGAAGACAGTGCAGAGGATTTGGAAAGAGTTGGATGATATGATGTGTTCAGCAGAGGAGAGGCATATTCAACAAAAAAAAAAAAAAAAAAATTGAAAATTGCTTTTTTCACTGCAAATTATTCATTATATCATATCCAAGTATTTTACAAAAAATTAAATATTTCAAGCTCAGGTTCATAGTTCATAACCATGCAATGAGATGAGGTAACATAAACCGTAGATTTGTCTGCAGAATATCATTACATTATTGTTACCTAATTATATTGAAATCATTAAGGTTTTTTGTAAAAAGCATTTTATTTTTGGTCATATATTAAATTTAAAATATTACTTCTTACAGGCTTTATTTTTGAACATGGAATAAGATCATTCCAAATTTCAGAATTTCACTATTGTCCATCAAAATGACTGGAAGACAACAATGGAAAAGAGAGGTAACAAAGTGTAAATGAAATAGCTCCAGTTTGTTCAACTTAGGAAACTTAGCATTGTAGCCAAAGCATTCTAAAATGCTGCCAATAACAAAAGAGAAAATGAAAAATACCTAACAACAAATTAAACACAGCATCAAAATTTATATTATTTTTATTTATATGTTTTATAACTAAATACATAATTGTCAACAATGATTCCATAAAATTTGATATTTCCTGTAATTCTTAATAAATTTTATTATTGTTATTATTTTACTTAAGTGTAAGGTAGTCCTACATTTACAATTCCTTACAGCTAAATATGAAAACTCCTAACACCAAAGATGAACTAAAGACAAGGATTACAGTAACATTCACCAACTTAAACAAGGAGACCATCCAAAAGAGTTGCAAGAGACTTCAAACTCATTTGGAGGCCATGATTAAAGCCAATGGTGATTTTATTGAATAAATTTATCTTTTATATTTCAAAATATTTTTGTGTAATTTTGGTAAATATATCTGTTAAAATGAGATGTCAGAGTTATTTTCATTTTTGTGTAATTTAGATGACATTATATCCATCACACACTGTAGCTCTAGTTATCTGTTGAGCACTTTTTGACAGAAGTTCTGCTAACCTGAAAAAACTCATAAAATTCTCATAATTTACACACACACATATATATATATATATATATATATATATATATATATATATATATATAATTATTCACACAAAACTAATGCAAAGGTTAATGATTTAAATGGCGAGACATCCATCTACTTAAACAATTCAAATAGTACACAAAACCTCCAGATCCGTTATGAATGAATTGATCCTTGTTTATATAAATTTCTGCCGTATTAGTTGTTATTTTTTACTACAAGCTTTCGTCTGTTCCTACAGACATCTTCAGGTATATAATAGATGTTGTTCTTGTTTTTCTCTTAGTAATAAGAGGACATCGAAAATATATGTGTATTGTATCCGAAATGCTATTGAAAATGAGATATTGATTTTGAAAGCTTGTAGTAAAAATAACAACTAATACGGCAGAAATTTATATAAACAAGGATCAATTCATTCATAACGGATCTGGAGGTTTTTGTGTACTATTTGAATTGTTTATGGATGGATGTCTCGCCATTTAAATCATTAACCTTTGCATTAGTTTTGTGAATAATTCATGTATTTGTAAATTGATTGCACGTTTATTGTAATATATATATATATATATATATATATATATATGAGGTCTGTCTGAAAGGTAATAGGACTGGATGTTCTATGGGCATTGTCCACAGTGAGTTTTTGCTACAGGTTAGACAATCAATCAACAAATCTACAAAGAGATTCTGCAGCATTTGCTTCACTCGGTGCATGAGAAGCCACAAGAGTTGTGGCAGGACAAATCGTGGCTACTTCAGCACAACTTATGCACTTGCTCACAATTGACAATTTGTGGCCAAGAAGTACATTTTTTTATGATCACCAAGGTGACCTGTTTTGAAGGTGTGGAGGCCATCAAGAGAGTTGTAATAATGGAGTTGAAGGGCATCTAAGAAGAATCCTTCTAGCAGTGTATAGAAGTGTGGCAGAGAAAGATGGAAAAGTGCATTAGATTCAAGGGGGAATACTTTAAAGGGGAAACTATGTAGCTCCTTGTTTGGAATTGAAAATGTTTGTGACACCAGTCCTATTACTTTTCAAACAGACCATTTATAAGCATTTGATATATTCAACTGACAAAGCCTGTCTGTTTCATTCAATCAAATCATTATTAGTCTGAAGAAGTCCTTACAAAGTCACGAAACACATAACTTAACATTTTCCCATTTTGTCAATTCATTTGTCCAATCTGTATGAAACATTAAAACAATTTATCACTATCCTAACAAAGGGTGTATGCCTTAGAGAAATTTAAGCATGTTTTTAATAAAAAATACCCCATACAGGACCACACAGTTTGGTACAAGACAAAAACCAACACGAGATTATGACAACAAAGTCAGAATAATGGTAATGTGAGATAAAAGCTGTACAATTCCTATTGTGAATTGAAAGAAGACTTACTTTGTGTGATGCATTTAAATCATGTAATTGTATCTGCTGTTCAAGAAGTTGGTGTTGTTGTTGTTGAATTTTATTTTCTGCAATTTCCAAACACTGGTCTCTTTCTTTAATGGCTTCCACCTGTTTTGTTTTGTTTTTTTAAGCCAGACACAAGAGAATAGAAAAGACAAGAAAATGTATCAGAAAAGCAAAACGTCACAAATTCATCCAAATGGAAGAATAACTTAAAATAAGATTCTATAAATCAAACAACCAAAATAAATATATAAAAAGAAAAAAAAATTACAGTATGTAAACAGAAACTTCAATTTGAAAAAAATATATTAACAGTTAAGAGATTATAGTCCAATGAAATCCTAATGGATGTTTTGTGTCACATAAAAACCTTTTTCACTTTGTCATATTTCTTTCTTGTAAAATTGTTTTTGATATATAAAAAAAATTATATCTCATTATTCCATATTTGTTTATGTAAATGATGCAATACAATATTCTCTATAAATAACAATGAATATTTACCATTTCTTTTAATTTTTCTTTGAGTAAATTGACTTCTTTTGTTTTCTCGGCAAAAATTTCTTCATCATTAATCAAATGTTCCTGGCACTGGAAAATAACAAAAAAGTCAACTTTTAGTGAATGTAAAATCAATTTCTGCATTTCTTTTATTGAAGGTTTCCATTCCAGGCTTGTGCGCAATCAAAGAAATGGGCAAGAGGGAGTTTGAAAGAAGAAAGAGAAACCGTAAAGAACATAATGGGATTATTTTTATGTTTTTTTTTTTTTTAAATCAGTATCACCCCAAACAAGACAGTACAGCCACTAGCATGCAAGGGGTTATAGGGTGTGGAGGAATTAGGAACAGTAATATTAGTAATCAGGAGAAAGAGAAAAGAGCAATCAGGAAAACAGTAGATAGTGATTGACATTGCCTTTAAATTTTTGCAGATTAAAGTTGGCTGGCAAACACAGAGCCAGATGGGAGTTCCACAATTGCAAAGTGCTGAGTAAGAAACTGTTAGCATAGAAGTTACAGTTACATCTAGCTAGCTCAACTGTAAATTGATGAGATTTCAACACCAGTCTATTATTTTGCTTAAATTCATAGAGTTTATGTAGCATAGCGAAGAGCTCATCTGAACAATTACCATGAAAGAATTTATACAGCAGTGGGCAAGTGACTGAAGCCAAGCTGCAAGATTAGGACCAATGATATTTGCCGATTCTTCTTTGGATTTTATCGAAGAGCTCCAGGAAAATAGCAGGGGCACTGAACCATATATGGCATCGATGTTCTAAGCATGTACAAATGGTAGACACAGATATGCAAAATAGATCTTGTTCAACACAGTGAACTAACTTTCTTAGCAGCTGATCTGGTGATGGATTCATTTCAACTGAGAACGTTAACCCAAGAAGGCACAATAAGTCACTTTCTTGGAGGATAGCATCAGCTATGCTGATGGAAGCCAATGAGGGGTCTCTCAGATGATTAATGGAAAGCAGTTTAGTTTTGGATGCATTAAAATTCACAAGCCATTTTATACCCCAGTTAACAACATTATTCTAGGAATTATTTAGTTAAGACTCATTGTTGCTGAGATCAAATCTAGCCTTTTGTCAGGTGGACATGGAATCCAATCATCGTTGAATGTTTTTCATGGTATTTTTTTTAATCCTTCCACATTCTGAATGTGGAAATGTTCAAATATATGTTAAAAAAACACTGTAAAACAGTTATATTTTTGAATAATGAAAAAAATGATGCTTCTTTAAAAATTTGACAGCACAAATTTTAGAAAGTTTAAAACTATCTTTCTATGGCAACAATCACTAACTTGAATTAATTCAGTTCAAAATGGTGGATCTGTCAGTCAAAATTGCTTCAGAGAAACGAGCTTCATATAATAATAGATTGTTGGTTACAAATTGGAATTCTGTCAATTTTTATTTCAGTTTAGAATGATTTATATAGATTATTTTACTGGCACATCAATTCCATGGGTCATAGTTTAGAATTAAGAAAATTTTATCACTCAATAAATGGCAATTGTACTTGACAAAAATTATGTTTGTTTTTTCACCTAAAACTAAAGGAGAGATGAAATTCATCTAACAAAGCAAGTATAATAAATGCAAATATTTTCTGGCCGATTTTCATCTCTTTAATTCGAACAAAGAATTTCAAGAACAGAATTTCAGAAAAAATAATTGGCAATGTTTAACCTTTGTGTCTGCCAAAAAATGGTGTGTCAAAGGGAAATTTATTCCTTTGACACTATTATTACTATATAGACATTTTACTCCCTCAACAATATTTATTGTTTTAAAAAGTGATAATCAGAATTTTAATAAATCCTAAACATGTAAAAATGAATTTCTACATTTCCTTTATTCTTGAGAATTGACAAATAAGATATTAAACACTATTTATTTATTAGATTGAATAAAAAAACTTGTTTTTAATTATTTATTTACAAAATGGTAAATAATAAATATTGCATTATAGTTGGTTTACATATTTGATAATTCTGTAAATTTTTATAAATTTTTGATTTCTTTTCAAATTTATTTCTTTATAAATAAATCTTTATAGAAGGTAAATAATAGTGTTAACAGAGATAGAGCATTAATAGGATTAATATAAAATAATAAATATTTCATTGTCTTTTGTCCCCATATTTTTATAATCCTATAAAAAAACATTGCTGAGGGTGTCAAAAGTCTATACAGTAATGACGGTGTCAAGGGAATAACCATCCTTTTGACACACCATTTTTCCGCAGTCATAAAAGTTAATATTCTCAAAAATCCTATAAAAAGAATTAAAAACAAGAGTAGAATATAGGAGAATAATTTTTTTCTTGAATTAGTTTAATATTACAGAAAGACTTGAATTTTATAAATATGATGAATGTAAATACCGTTTTAATCTCAGACTGAAGTTCTTTCATTTTTTCATTGCTGTACTTTTCAGATATATTTGATATGGTGGCCATTTTTCGTTTAACCTGAAACAGAAAGAAAATCATGATTTCCAATTCCTTCTTTTTTTTTTTTTTTACTTTGTCATTTTTCCTATTTAAGGACTTGCTGCGTGATTGAGATAATTGTATATTTCTTATTGCTATAATCTGTTCAGTGATTGAAAAGAAAACAAAATTTCTGTGTTGATTTTTAAAACAACACTCTCCATTTGGCAGATTGATGCAACATAATTGCATTGCTTTATGCCAGACAAACTATATTATTATATTTCTACTTAAACAGCTGTAAATTTTTATTTAAGATAAAAAAAAAAAAAAAAGTCTATATCCAGTGAATCAGAAAATAAGAGAAAAAGTTTTTATTGCACAACAATTATGATAATTTCAATGTCTAAATATGATGACATATTTTCAGACAGCTTGTTCCCCAGAACTGGTACTTTGTGGGACAGACTTCCAAAAAGATGATTCCTTGATCACTATGATCTTAAACACTTCAAATCTAGGATCGACCATTATCTATCCAAGTGTAGGATCCCTGCTAGCAGCAGTGAGACTACAATGGAGTGGACATTTCTATTGTTTGGATGATTCTTGATTGCTGAAAAATTGCTCTGTATGGTGAACTAAAGTGTGTGAAGTGACAGCGAAGCAGTCAAAGACATCGCCATAAAGACTGCATCAAGACGGAACTGAAAGCGATGCAGATTGATGTAAACAACTAGGAATAGCTGACTGTGGACCACCCTGAATGGAGCTGAATACTAAATACTGAAGTAGCAACAATCGAAACATCAAGGCTGGACAATTACCAGCGATCATCAACCCAGAAATATGGCTGTCTCTGAACCTAAAATAATCTCCTTCACATATTTTCACCAAATACTAATTATCTATCCTATATATCCTCATAATATGCATTTCTTACTTCTTTTTACAAACTTACAATAACCTCATTTAGTAACCCACTACATGGAGTGGCTCTTAGGCCTTGTAGTAACTGAACAATAGCATTAAGAGAAACATATCCTAATAATAAGAAGTACAGAGAAAGAACCTTGACAATTGCCACAACAGATTTTATGATTAAAACAGAAAACTGTATTCTACAATTGTAATAAATTGGTAACTTTTAATAAAAATTAATAAAAATAACCCATTAATTTCGTGCTAATGCTCTTGAGAAAAGCATGAATCCATCTCACCTCTTCTCCCCCAGTTATAGGTTAAATAGCAGGATAGACTAGGCTCTCAAACCTCAAGTATCAACCAGTCTAAGAGAAGGAAAACTGAATTCCAAACCATGTAGGACTCAATGGGAAACACTCCACTATCTTTCCCAAAGAATGCATGCCAATTCACAGATAATAAAAAAATGAAATCTTTTAAGAGCCACAATTGCCTAGGTCCAAAAAAGACATGGCATTTAAAAAAAATCATTCACTGGCAGATAAAATTGCTTGAAATCTGGAAACAATTTATAACAACATCTATAATGTTGATTATTATGATGATTGAAAGCACTTCCACTCCCACTAGGGAATGCTGAGAGCAAGATGGATCCAGCAGGGAGTCTGAATAAGGAAGTTAAGTTTACCATGTCTCGTGTCGTCTTTGTGTTGCTTTGATAGTTCTGCCATAGATTAGAACATTGTCAATAACTGTTTCGACTCCTTGAATATTTTTCAATAATTCTGACATCTTTCTTTGAAATATTTCTGGAGTTGATGTTATACCAAAAGGTGGTGCTAGTCTCATATAACTTATCTTCTCACCCTAAGACCAGTGGAACAAATTTAATTCTATGTAATAATAATTAGAGCCAAAAATGTTTCTTACCTCTCCTCTCAAGTCAAGCCAGTTTTTAAGACTTGAACTTAGGCTTTCAGACAAAATGTTTCTATTCCTAATCTTGATTAATTGTTTATGAGCTTCTTCAGACAGTAACTGATATTGTGAAGATTCTTCTTGGAGCCTTCAAACAGAACAACATCTTTTATTAGAATCATTATAGAGTGATTTGATTAAACAATCAATATATTTTAGATCATAATTCATTGTTTCACCTGTGTTGACAAGCTAAGGTGCATATTTAAGCAATCATTTAATATTCAAAAAATCAGTAGTTCTGTTATATAAATGTTTGAAAATTAGTAATAAAATTTATTTGGTAGTATATAAAAAATATATGAGTAATGTCTTAATTTATGTTTATGTGGTCTTACAGCCATATCATGCTGAAGCACTGGTTCTTGTCCGATCACTAAAGTTAAGCAACATTGAACCTGGTCAGTACTTAGATGAGTGACTACCTGAAAATATCAGATGTTGTAAGCTTTGGTATGTGGTTGGTGCCATGGATAAAGGCTTGGAATGAGAAATTGGAGAGCCAATTTTAAATTGCAGTTGAGTTTGTTATATTCACTTACGAGCAAATACACTTGGGAAAGGCATGAATCCACCTCTTTTCCTCTAAGCTATGGTAAGACTTGTATCAGAAAATCATTATTATCTCCAAAAATGTTTTTACAATCCCAAAATATGTTTTGGCTTTAAATAACCTCAAAAAGGTTAATAAGCCATAAAAAAAACAAATCAATCAATCAGTTATGTGATGGTGTTGAAAACACAGTAATGTCCTTTATTTTATACATGTTCAAGAATGTTTCTGAACATCCACAGTTGTCTAAGTTCATTTCCTGGTTTTTCAGTTTCAATCCATGCTCTTTCCGTATCAATGAAGTAAGTATTTCAACATCTGGCACAATGTGGATTGTATGAAGAAACTAGTTACTCAATTTTTCATCAACTAAATTATCATATATTTACAAAATAGGTAGATACTAAACCACCAATAAAACCATTTGGTTCCTTTTAAAAGTAATTCATTTTTCTATTATAAAATGATGATGTAACAATATTATCAATTTTATTATTAATTATACATATTTTAATTTGTATTTGCAATACAAGTTATTGTAATAATTATTATTACTCACATTATGCAATATTTTGTGAAAAAATGCAGTTCCCAATACAAAGAACAAAAAAATAAGTGACAAAACTTTCAACATATTAAAATTATTAATATGATAACATTGAAGTAAATTTAATAGTTTTAACAATTCATATATTGATTCCACATATAGCACTTAATTTGTTAGAAGAGGACAACATCCTCTTAAATGTAGGAAAAATTATGTTTACAATGACACACACACACAGCCTCTTCACCTATCAAGTAGTTGCCAAACATCCGATATATCTATCTGTATCTATAATTCTTAAAATGCACATACATGTGTGTGTGTGTGTGTGTGTGTGTGTGTGATTGGATGTTGTTTGTGCATTTCCACAGTTTTCATCCAATTTTTATGAAATTTTTTTGTTTGATAGATAATTCTTCAGTGCAGTTTGGAGTCCAAATTGGCTGGAAACAATTACAATCTTGAAGGTAAAAAAAATAAAATCGAAAAAAACTGATTTTTTTTTGTGCTAAAGTTAAAGGCAAAATTTAATGTCTGTAAAAAAACAGCGTACAATCACTTTAAAGAGTTGAAATCTAACACAAAAGATTATTAGAATTATAATATATTATAAATAAAAATTATCGTATATCATTACCATGGAAGAGGTTCCTTCCTTGCAAGAATGAAAACACAAAAACGACCCTTTTCATAGCCACCGCCCATTCAAATTGTACATTAAAAAAATAGACCATTAAATATAATAGGCACAAAACATCTATTGTTTTTAGGAATATATATAAAACAAAAAACGTTACTAAAAATTATTTAAATGAAAATGATATTTACAGTAAGCAAAAATGAAAATTTCTTCATATCTGTAATAAAATTTACAGAAGTTTTAATTAAAATTTTTAAGTCAGGCATAATGATATGCATGTCAAAAAAAATAATTGCCCAGTGCAAGTATTAGTTCTAAGATGTGTGTAGTAAAAAGTTATTTTATGAAATACCTGCTGATATTATTTTGGAGGTCTCTAACATGATTCTGGGTATCAATGATTGCATCATTGTCAGCCATATTAAACAACCGGGTTCGCTCTCGAGCAAGCTCTTCTCTCAGATTCTTAAAAAGACAACACAAGAAAAAAAAAAATATAAAAAAAAAAAAAAAAAATTACAAAGAACATATTGCAGAAGAACAAAAAAAAAGGCAAGAAAGGTTTTTTAATATAAGCATAAAATATTTTTTATTTTTGTGTTTTTTTACAACTTCCTTGTTTGTAGCTGGTGAGATAAAAAGAAATGTGTTTTCCTTGCATGTATGTGTGAAAAAAGAGGAAAGAGAGAAAGTAAAAAGGAAATTATAGATGTCACATAACTCGGTGAGGAAGAGTATAGAATGTCACGTAGCATGTTGAGGAAGAGTATAGAATGTCACGTAGCATCATGGTGAGGAAGAGTATAGAATGTCACGTAGCATCATATAGAATGTCACGTAGCATGGTGAGGAAGAGTATAGAATGTCACGTAGCATCACGTAGTGAGGAAGAGTATAGAATGTCACGTAGCATCAGTCAGTGAGGAAGAGTATAGAATGTCACGTAGCATCAGTGAGGAAGAGTATAGAATGTCAATGTCACGAGCATCAGGAGGAAGGAATGAGTCATGAGGAAGATAGAATGTCACGTATTAGCATGAAGTGAGGAAGAGTATAGAATGTCAGAATGTAGCATCAGTGAGGAAGAGTATAGAATGTCACGTAGCATCAGTGAGGAAAGAGTATAGAATGTCATCGTGAGGAAGGTATAGAATGTCATCATCAGTGAGGAAGAGTATAGAATGTCATCCGCAGTGAAATAAGCATCGAAGAATGAGTCAGAATGTCACGTAGCATCAGTCAGTGAGGAAGCATGGTAGGAAGAGTAGAATGTCACGTAGCATCAGTGAGGAAGAGTAGCATGTCACGTAGCATCAGTGAGGAAGAGTATAGAATGTCACGTAGCATCAGTGAGGAAGAGTATAGAATGTCACGTAGCATCAGTGAGGAAGAGTATAGAATGTCACGTAGCATGGTGAGGAAGAGTATAGAATGTCACGTAGCATCAGTGAGGAAGAGTATAGAATGTCACGTAGCATCAGTGAGGAAGAGTATAGAATGTCACGATGTCAGAATGTCAGTAGCATCAGTGAGGAAGAGTATAGAATGTCATGTAGCATCAGTGAGGAAGAGTATAGAATGTCATGTAGCATGTGGTGAGGAAGGTATAGAATGTCACGTGGCATGGTGAGGAAGGTATAGAATGTCACATCAGCATCAGTGAGGAAGAGTATAGAATGTCACGTAGCATGGTGAGGAAGAGTATAGAATGTCATGTAGCATGGTGAGGAAGAGTATCAGTAGCATAGAGGAAGAGTATAGAATGTCACGTAGCATCAGGAGGAAGAGATAGAATGTCACGTAGCATGGTGAGGAAGAGTATAGAATGTCATGTAGCATCAGTGAGGAAGAGTATGGCATCAGTGAGGAAGAGTATAGAATGTCAATGTCACGTAGCATGGTGAGGAAGAGTATAGAATGTCATCAGTGAGGAAGAGTATAGAATGTCACGTAGCATCAGTGAGGAAGAGTATAGAATGTCACGTGTGAGTGAGAAAGAGTATAGAATGTCACGTAGCATGGTGAGGATCAGTGTCAGGAATCATTGAGGAAGAGTATAGAATGTCACGTAGCATCAGTGAGGAAGAGTATAGAATGTCACGAATGTCATGGGTGAGGGGAAGAGTATAGAATGTGAGGAAGAGTATAGAATGTCACGTAGCATCAGTGAGGAAGAGTATAGAATGTCACGTAGCATCATTGAGGAAGAGTATAGATGTCCGCATCAGTCAAGAGTATAGAATGTCACGTAGCATGGTGAGGAAGAGTATAGAATGTCATGTAGCATGGTGAGGAAGAGTATAGAATGTCACGTAGCATCAGTGAGGAAGAGTATAGAATGTCACGTAGCATCAGTGAGGAAGAGTATAGAATGTCACGTAGCATCAGTGAGGAAGAGTATAGAATGTCACGTAGCATCAGTGAGGAAGAGTATAGAATGTCATGGTGAGGAAGAGTATAGAATGTCACGTAGCATCAGTGAGGAAGAGTAGAATGTCAGTATATAGAATGTCACGTAGCATCAGTGAGGAAGAGTATAGAATGTCACGTAGCATCAGTGAGGAAGAGTATAGAATGTCACGTAGCATGATGTCAGGAAGAATGTCCTGGCATCAGTGGAAATGAGTATAGAATGTCACGTAGCATCAGTGAGGAAGAGTATAGAATGTCACGTAGCATGGTGAGGAAGAGTATAGAATGTCACAGTGAGGAAGAGTATAGAATGAATCAGTGAGGAAGAGTATAGAATGTCACGCAAGGAAGAGTATAGAATGTCACGCATCAGTGAGGAAGAGTATAGAATGTCATGTAGCATCAGTGAGGAAGAAGAATGTCAGTGAGGAAGAGTATAGAATGTCATCATGGTGAGGAAGAGAATGTCATGTCATGTAGCATCAGTGAGGAAGAGTATAGAATGTCACGTCATCAGTGTGAGGAAGAGTATAGAATGTCACGATCAGTGAGGAAGAGTATAGAATGTCACGTAGCATCAGTGAGGAAGAGAATGTCACGTAAGCATCAGTGATCAGTATATGGAAGAGTATAGAATGTCACGTGGCATCAGTGAGGAAGAGTATAGAATGTCACATAGCATCAGTGAGGAAGAGTATAGAATGTCACGAGCATGAGGAAGAGTATAGAATGTCAGTCACGAAAGAGTATAGAATGTCGTGGCATGGTGAGGAAGAGTATAGAATGTCACGTAGCATCAGTGAGGAAAGAGTATAGAATGTCACATCAGTGAGGAAGAGTCAATGTCAGGAAGAGGAAGAGTATAGAATGTCACGTCATCAGTGAGGAAGAGTATAGAATGTCACGTAGCATCAGTGAGGAAGAGTATAGAATGTCACGTAGCATCAGTGAGGAAGAGTATAGAATGTCACGTGGCATCAGCAAGAGTCAGCATCAGTGAGGAAGAGTATAGAATGTCACGTAGCATCAGTGAGGAAGAGTATAGAATGTCATAGCATTGAGGAAGAGTATAGAATGTCACGTAGCATCAGTGAGGAAGAGTATAGAATGTCACGTGATGGAAGGAGAGTATAGAATGTCACGTAGCATCAGTGAGGAAAGAGTATAGAATGTCACGTGGCATCAGTGAGGAAGAGTATAGAATGTCACGTAGCATCAGTGAGGAAGAGTCAGAATGTCAGGCATCAGTGAGGAAGAGTATAGAATGTCACGTAGCATGGTGAGGAAGAGTATAGAATGTCACGTAGCATCAGTGAGGAAGAGTATAGAATGTCACGTAGCATGGTGAGGAAGAGTATAGAATGTCACGTAGCATCAGTGAGGAAGAGTATAGAATGTCACGTAGCATGGTGAGGAAGAGTATAGAATGTCACATCATTGAGGAAGAGTATAGAGTCACGTAGCATCAGTGAGAAGAGTATAGAATGTCACGTAGCATCAGTGAGGAAGAGTATAGAATGTCACGTAGCATCAGTGAGGAAGAGTATAGAATGTCACGTCATCAGTGAGGAAGAGTATAGAATGTCACGTAGCATCAGTGAGGAAGAGTATAGAATGTCATCAGTGAGGAAAGAGTAATGTCATGTAGCATCAGTGAGGAAGAGTATAGAATGTCACGTAGCATCATTGAGGTAAGAGTATAGAATGTCAGGAAGTGAAAGCATCAGAGGAAGAGTATAGAATGTCACGTGGCATCAGTGAGGAAGAGTATAGAATGTCACGTAGCATGGTGAGAAGAGTATAGAATGTCATGTAGCATCAGTGAGGAAAGAGTATAGAATGTCACGTAGCATCAGTGAGGAAGAGTATAGAATGTCACGTAGCATCAGTGAGGAAGAGTATAGAATGTCACGTAGCATCAGTGAGGAAAGGAAGTATAGAATGTCACGTAGCATGGTGAGGAAGAGTATAGGAATGTCAGCATCAGTGAGGAAGAGTATAGAATGTCACGTAGATGGTGAGGAAGAGTATAGAATGTCACATGTAGCATGGTGAGGAAGAGTGAATGTCACGTAGCATCATGGTGAGGAAGAGTAGAATGTCACGTAGCATCAGTGTGAGGAAGAGTATAGAATGTCACGTGGCATCAGTGAGGAAGAAGAATGTCCATAGAATGTGAGGAAGAGTATAGAATGTCACGTAGCATCAGTGAGGAAGAGTATAGAATGTCACATCAGTGAGGAAGAGTATAGAATGTCATCAGTGAGGAAGAGTATAGAATGTCACGTAGCATGGTGAGGAAGAGTATAGAATGTCACGTAGCATCAGTGAGGAAGAGTATAGAATGTCACGTAGCATCAGTGAGGAAGAGTATAGAATGTCAGTGAGGAAGAGTATAGAATGTCACGTAGCATCAGTGAGGAAGGTATAGAATGTCATGTAGCATCAGTGAGGAAGAGTATAGAATGTCACGTAGCATCAGTGAGGAAGAGTAAATGTCAGAGGAAGAGTAGAGAATGTCACGTAGCATGGTGAGCACGTATCAGTGAGGAAGAGTATAGAATGTCACGTAGCATCAGTGAGGAAGAGTATAGAATGTCATGTAGCATCAGTGAGGAAGAGTATAGAATGTCACGTAGCATCAGTGAGGAAGAGTATAGAATGTCACGTAGCATCAGTGAGGAAGAGTATAGAATGTCAGGATCAGTGAGGAAGAGTATAGAATGTCACGTAGCATCATGAGGAAGAGTATAGAATGTCATGGTGAGGAAGAGTATAGAATGAGGAAAGAGTATAGAATGTCACGTAGCATCAGTGAGGAAGAGTATAGAATGTCAGCATCAGTGAGGAAGAGTATAGAATGTCATCAGTGAGGAAGAATATCACGTAATGGTATAGAGATATCAAGAATGTCACGTAGCATCAGGAGGAAGAGTGTGTCACGTAGCATGGTGGGAAGAGTGAATGTCATGAAGTGAGGAAAGAGTATAGAATGTCACGTGGCATCAGTGAGGAAGAATGTCAGTATCAGAATGTAGAATGTCACGCATCAG